TCGCGGTCGCGGGTGAGGGAGATGAAGGCACCAAAGTGGCGGAAGCGGAGCTCGCTGAGCTTGGCCTGGAGGCCAGAGTGCCAGGGCATGCTGGACAGGATTGCGTAAGGCTGTGAATGTGTTAGTGAATAAAGAAAAATTGGCTTGCAAGATTTAGATTTGGGACGTACGATCATGCAAGTTGGCTCCAGCTTCACACCGTGACCGGCCTTGTCGAGGTCCTCGAATGAGGAGCAGTAACTCGTGATGATACCGCCTGTGTTCACTTCACGTCAGCAACCAGAACATATGGATTTGCAATGTATTTTGAGTGACTCACCCTCCCATGGCTTGCAGTCCTCCTTCCAGTAGCCTCCTACAAAATTGCAGGGATGGACATAGAGATTACGACCGAGGTGTCGGTTCTAAACGTATCCAACGTTAGCAGCGTAATTGTGTGAGAGCGCAGTAGAGGGACGACATCATCTACTTACCGTCAAACCGCTTCTCAACAGCACCAAGGGGCTCGAAACTGATCCAGCCGACATGATAACCTTCTTGGCCTTGATAACAACCTGTCGTGTGGTCCGCTGCTCCAAAGCCGCGCTGGTGCTGCCGTTGGCTCCCCTCGAAACCCACTTTCCAACTACGCCCGTCGCTCGCTTGGACCCGCTGGTCTCGTCAAAGGTGACCTTCTCAACCTCGAAGCCCTCGATAAACTTGGCTCCAGATCCCGCCGCTGCCGGTAGCCAGCTCACGGTTGGACCCTGCTTTTCAGTCGACCCACAGCCGAGGTGGCACTGCCCGCAGTAGTGCTCCATCCCGCCGGTGTTCTGCGGGGCCGTGGCGGCGTGCCATCCGAGCTTCCGGGACCCGTCCAGCAGCACCTGGTTGCGGTGGTTGTGGCGGACCTTGTCGGTACTGACGCCCATGAAATCGCAGACCTTGTCAAGGCAGTTTTGGAACTGGGGCGAGGTGAAGAATGGCAGGCCGCGCTGCTCAGACCACTCCTTGCGGACGAACCCTTGGGTCTGGAGACTGACGCTCCAGTTGACGGTGCCACCGCCGCCCCAGCAGCTGCCGGCGACCATGTTGAGCGAGTTGTCATCGCTGGTGATGAAGCCTCCGTTCTCGTACAGGAACGAGCAGCCGGCATCCTGGGACATGGGCAGCTGGCTCGGGGTGTAGTAGTACGACTTATCGACAACGAGGACCTTGTGACCGGCCTCGGCCAGGACCTTGGCAGCGACTGCTCCTCCGCAGCCCGACCCGACGATGACGACGTCGGTCTCTACGACGGCTGGCTCGCCAGCCGACTCGAATTGCATAAAGTTGAAGTCAAAGCCCTCGCCGTGCGTCTGGAAGTCCGGCATGTCGGTATAGTCCGTCAACTCTATGAATAAAGGATTGGTCTGCACGGCGGCCTTTTGCGCCAGGAGACATATTGACTTTGATAGAACCCTGATTGTGGGGAGCCTGGACGTCTGCCAAGCCTTCAAAATTTGCTCACGAACTTCTATGGGTTGAAGGTGGACTGGGGTCCAGTACCCAGTGAGAAACAACGTGCCGGCGCGCGTGCTGTCAGTTTGGTCAGTTTTGGTTCACGGTGAAGATCAAAAGTGAAGCGTCGTGGTGGCGTTCATGGCCCATCACTTACCCAAGAGCGCCCATTGCGCCACCGAGTTGACGTTGCGCGCCGGAAGGCAGGGCCGCCAGTGTCCTGGTGATGCTCTCGATGAATTTGGGTTCCTTTGCGGGATTGTGTGCCATGTACTCCTGGAACTTTTCCTCGGAAGGCGGTTTCTTCATTGTGTTCTGGGCGAGTTGGAGCGCAGCCGCATATTCTGCATCGGACACTCGGATCTGGCTTGCCGTGTCTGTGAGAGTCGCCGGTCGTGAGATGGGCGGGAGGACCGCCTCGAGCAAGGATATCAGAACGGTCCATTGAGTCTCGTTCCAAAAGTCGGTGGTCGGCAGCGCCGGAAGCTGGAGCTCGACGGCGGTGCCAGGAATGGTCTTTGGCAGAGTAGCCATGATGAAGTGGATTGGAGCGTGATGGTAAGTAAACACAGAAAGATGAGAACAGTAATCAAAGTGAACAGTTCGGTGGTACAACGCGATACAACGTAGAAATGGCTATAAGAAGGGGTAGAAGAACAATGACAATAACAAAGTTACGCAAAGTCGGATGAGGGGCAGCTTTGGAGTTAGCTATAGTCCCAATTGACACATGAGCGATGAAAAGGCACCTCGGAAGCTCATGCTCAACTGATGTCAGGATGTGTGGGTGGGAAGGCAACGGGAAAACGAGTCGTCGTTGGCAGCCCCCTGCTGCTCGCATGGTGGTGCTGCAGGGGTTCGTGTTTGCCATGGATGCGGGGTCTGTGCGACGAAGCATCTCAATGGATCTCTCCATAACCATCTCCTCTCTCTGACTCTCTCTCTCTTTCGCTGTGGCTGTCTCCTCAGGCGGATGGGACCCTATTCCCGATCCGGTATGCTATTGGGGTGGTCGAACATTCAGTCAACCGCCAGCTTTGCGGCTAAAGATTGGCCGTCATGTTTAGTTCTGAACCGTCTCTTTGTTTGTGGTTGCAGAATCCCTCAAAGAGGAGTCTCGGACCTATGATTCCCCCCACCGGACCTGGCCAGCAGAGCTGTCAACACCTCTAGATGTGCAGCTTACTCTCTGCATTGGCGGGGTATGGCGCTACTGAGCGGCACTTGGGCGCATGTAACCCTCTCAACCCGGGCGCGAGTGGCGTAGTGCGGGAACGGGGAATCAAGAGAAGCTGCTTGATGTGGGGAACGGACACTTTGGCTCGATCGTAACGGGCCCTCGTCGGAACCCGATAGTTTCTTCATCAGTCATCATCAAACCAAAGGTCCTTTCGACGCCATATTCACGGCATCCCACTGCATGAAGCAGCACTATAATGGGAGCAAAGAGACGCACCACGCGATGTCAATTGTCGAAGGAAGAGAGACGCGGTTGCTGCACGTGTTGCCTCATGTTCAGACTTCCCAAGCGTCTGAGTCTTGAAACGACACAGCCGCGAGCTTATGTTTGTCGATATTTCAGCCACCATGGCCCCAGATGATGGTCAGATCGTCGGACCCGCCCGCTCACCTTGAAAGTGCACAGCGATATCAACAGGAATGATGCTGGGTTGACTGCTGCAGATCGTACGTTACCGTGGCTTGGGGTGAGATTCTTAGATTGTGGGGCAGATCGATGATGCGTCTCAGCGATTCGGCCGGGAAGCATTGAGCCTCGGCTCGCATGGACTGATTGAAACGGGCAAGAAAACACATATGTTTCTCAGCTGGCCTTGTCGTGAAGTTGTTTATTGGGATGCGATCGAAATCGGATGATTCGTTGGCATGGCCACGAGCTTCAGTCGGAGAATCACAACTAGCAGTGCCAGAATCAAATGTCTGCAAAAGCTGTATGCCTCGTGAGCGCCAGACTGGTCGTCACCGGGCCCGGTATTTGGTGGCCCGCCGCCTCTTCCGTCTCAAACACAGCCGCTCCAATCCACGGCTGGCAACTTGCAGACACCCGGCACCGTGTGCTGCGCCGACGCATAAGCCAAGGAACCAGTGCCCCGTCCGGCGCTAGAGAGAAACGGCGCAGCCCGGCCCCAGGGCACCCGGGTCCGACTGCCGGTGGCGCATCGGGTCTACCGCGTGGCACCGCCGACTTCTCCGGGGGTGTGCGTGCCCGGGCGAGCGGACTTGTAAGCGGCGAATCGACCTGACACTGACAGCAGGCGGACGTGGCCCGGTGGGTACGGTGGCCAAAAATGCAAGATTGGCTCCCCCTCAGACCTGCAGCTACAGGTCGCGGCTAAACCAGACGTGGGCACTTTTCAGGGTCCAGCGGCGGGTCTTTCCATCCGTGCAAGGGGGGCTGGGTGTCATCTGGCGATGGGCGGTCTGGCGGCCAAGAGGGTTCAAAGGGGAAGCTGGGGCCGGGGTTTGCCTTTGAAGCCGAATTTGTTGGGGAAAGGAGACGAGAACGACTTGAAAAATGCATGTGAGAGTCGATCTGTGAAGAATTGTTGACTGACGGCGAACAAGGCGCGGAAGCCAGCAAGCTCTTCCTGGTCGGCTGATTTCCGTGTTGTAACTGTGGTAGGCCACCGTGAGCATGAAGATGTATTACTGGAGACAGCTTTGCTGTCAACGGCTGTACTGTAAAGAGGCACGAGAGGTGCGCAAAAGACTGTCGTGTGAGTGTTACCACCAGCGCACTATGTTATATCTGTGCAGGTTGAGACTCCAAGCTGAGGCTTCAAGATGTACTTCGGATTCGTACCAGCAAGCCTTGTTGTCATCAAGCAATACACTCTTGTCCATTCCGGCCGAGTAGGCTGTCTGCTCCGAGCTCGTGTGACAATCTCATCATCGACAAATGACGAAATCATGGTCGCGTTCCGCTTTGAGAAGCACGGGGGACCGTGAAGATCAAGGCCCTTGTCGCTCACATGTCAAATGATGGTCATCCAGCGACTTCGTGATGATTAGATAACGGGAGAAAGAGGGTCCTTACCAGCAAGACCGTCCGTAGTAGTGGAAATCATCAAAGAAAGGGAAGAAAAAAAAACTTCGATACGATGAAGAGAAGATTGACAGAATTGGGCTTAGCGTTCCCCCAACAAAAAGGACGAAGGTCGGGTAGCCATGCTCCACGGCGGATGGACACTTGATGATTCGTGACGTGGACTACTTCATGCGCGTTAGTGTACTATGCAAAAAGCTCACGTTGACGTTATCAGACAAAGTGTCAACGATGAAAAGTACCTGTCGCATCCCCCACTAACCACCCACAACGGACCAGGGGCAACTTGCAAGGAGGGTCAGCCTGGGCTTCCAGAAGGACGACGATGGCCACGGCCCCCTGACAACCCGGCTGCAAGCCTCCAGGATGAGAATTGCGTTGCGCAGACTTGACTACTAGACTCGCGATTATCAAGTCCAACACCCGTCGGGAGTTCGGAGCCCCCGATGGGAGTTCGTCAGAGTCGGTTGTGTTTGCGGGCCTTGCCCAACATTGATCTCTTGGTGATCTCTCGTGTAGCCATCGCATAACGTCCAACGTAGCGTGACCTGAGGGCACTGACTGAGCGCAAGACAGCGAGTGCCACTGCGAGCTCTGATAATGCCAACAGAGGTGTCGAGATTGGGCCGGCGAGAGGAAGCCGTGGCCATGTCCCGGAAATAGAGTTGGAGCTGGTGTCCAAAGCTCCCAATGCGCCATTGCCGTTGTCGGAAAGACAAATGTCTGGGACTCTGGGCTGGGCAATGGGTTCCGGCAACGTGCCCAAGCAAGATCCATGTCGCAGCTTTTCAACCGTTTCAAAGCGCCTGACGAACTGCGCGAATCGGTGGGTGAAAGGCTGCGAAGTATCGTACAGACCAGACGTACTGATACGGGGCGCCGCGGCGCAAAGGCTTTTTTGCTTCGTCCAACGTGCGATGCTTAATTGGTTGAACCCTTCTGGGACATTTGCTCCGGGCGTGAAAACCCGTTCGCAGACGCATTTCGGCGTTGCCATATCGCCGTCTAGTCAGTCGCAAATTGGCAAGAACGATTGTCGACTCGTCGTCTTCTTCAAGGCTCAAGCTGTTGATCCCCCCCCCCCCCGGCGCCCTTGTTCTAAGCAGCTTGTATCTTTGGCGTTGCTCGGGCCCATCCTGCAAATGCCCCCATGCCTCGGGCGCCAGGATGGGCTTAAGGACGGAACAAGGATGATGTCGAAAGAGGCCGAGGCAAAAAAGTGAGGGTTTTGGTCATTCTGGACCAAGTTGAGCTTGGATGAGAAGATGGAACCGAACCGAACCCACCCCCGTCCATCCATCCATCCAGTAGTGCCAATATGGTCGAGGCCGTTTGCCTTAACGTAAACCGGTGATGGTTTTGCGGTGCCTTTCGTCCGTTGTCGAGCTTGAAGGTGTTATTCATGTGTCTCTCAACAATGTTCAATGTTGGTGTACCCAGCAAGTATCCACAACACTAGGAGTGGAGGTACAGACGGGATACTCACGTACGAATGGATACCTACTCTGTAGGCCCCGGTTTTTTGTCTCCAGACAGCTGGTCACTGGTGAGGAAGAACGGAAAGAAGATGTGCCTCTTGAAGCTTGGCAGGACCTGCTGTGTCGAATCGAAGGCTGCGGATGTCAGTGGTGGATTCCACATTGAGTAGTACCTCCCGCGGCCACCCGACAAGCCGGGCAAGCGCGCACAAGAGACTTGCGACTTCAGGAAGGCGGCGAGGGCCAGGTGCGCTTGCATTTTCCCGGCATTTTTGGGTTTTGCTCCGTCCGTTATTGTCAGGTACTTCGGTGAGGTACCTAAAGTCACCTAAGGTCAGGTACCTTACGTGATGTATTCCCACGCAGGAGGGAGGAGGAACGAAGGAAGGCACGTTGGATCTCGAGCTTCCAAATTCACCGATACCTGGATCTTTCCAAGGCTTCACCTTAATTCTTCTGGACCTTAGTCCTTCTTGTATGTTGCTTGCAAGAGAAGTCGTGAGAGTAAGTGCATGGTTAAGTGTGTGAGGTACATGAGCAGTACGTGCTTCAACGTCGCATAGCATTGAGAAACTAGTGTGAGCAGGACGAGACATGACAAGGCAAGCCGCAAGACAATACACCACGACATCAGATACCTCATCTTCCACCGAACTCACCAGACTCTACCTTAGCTATAGTCTGGAGCAGAGACAACCGGCCACCATACCGTTGCCGTTGGCCGTGCCGCACCTGACACCTCCCGTTGTGCTTTTCAACTATCCTAAAGCAGAAACTTGACGTGCGTGCGCTTTTTGTATGGTCTTGACTTGCATCACCTCGTCTCGCCTCGCATCTGATCCGTTCTCTTGCCGTTGCGCCTTGGCCTCAGCAGCATTGCTTATGACTAAAGCCCGAGCAAAAGAGACAAACTTCTTTCCCGCTTTCTCCCCGACTGCTGAGTGACTCCTGATCAAGACACACTCCCCGCCAGATTCATCATTTCACCCGAAGCTACGTATCTGTCCATACGAATATATACTTGGTACTTGGTGTACCAGGGTGGAGGGGTGTCGACGAAGGGGAAGGCAAGGCACGGTATCCGTAAGGTAAGGCAAGGGGAAAAGGTGGGAGGGGAGGAGCCGCTGGTCTTAGTCCCAGCACATTATCCACTCCTCTCTCTCTGGGTGACGGGTCACACACTCTCTCATCCAGAATTTCAACCTTCCCCTTCCCCATATTAAGACCTCGAGGATCCCTTCGCATTGACCTTGTCGCCTCTGCTGTTCTTTCTCCTTTCTCTATTCTCCTCTTCTCTCCCAAGCTCACCCGGCACACTCTCGTCTCCTTGGACAAACCCTCGTCGGACTGGAACGTTGTCTTGGCCTCTGTCTCAAGCCTTCTCTTTCGCCAGATCTCTCTGTGCCACTCCCTTCAGAGAAACAGAGCTTCCTTCTCTCTCTTTCTCGTCCTCTCCTCTCTCCCACTTTCGTCCACCACCTCTTCTGGACCGGACCGCATACCAGTCGCTCGACGATCGAACCGACTACCGTCTCTTCCACCATCGACCCAATACCTGTGTGTGTGTGTGTTAGCACTACAGCTGTCAGTCTTCGTGCCGAGACATTACTGTCAAGAACGACTTTCGAACGTGCGTGCATTGTGTGTCTAGCTTGCTTTTAGCTTGTCACTCCAATTGCCGCGACTCAGCAAATTCCCCAACGCCCGAGCAATTAGCATTGGCGGGACCGCAACTTTTTCCAAAAAAACCAAGCCCCGACTCAATTGGTCAATTAAGCTCCCCCACTATGGCCGGCGTCACCGTGCTCGGCGAGCTCCCGTCCGCCTCCCTCTTCACCTTCCCGCCCGATGGCGCGCATATGGCCATTCCCCCACCTTTCCCCGGGTCCATCGCCGCAGCCCCTCCGGTCCAAATTCCCGACAATATCTTCACCGCCGCTCTTGACCCCAGAGTGCCCATCACCATTGCCACTCTCTACGCCGTCACCGTCAAGCTCCTGAACAAGTACAACAACTCGACCAACCGTAAGCCTTGGGGAATCAGCAAGACCAAGCCCTTCTTCGCTTTTGTCGTCTTGCACAATGTCTTCCTCGCCGTCTACTCGGCTTGGACCTTCTGGGGCATGCTCGGCGGCATGCGTAGGAGCGTTGTGAGCCCTTTTGGCCCCAATGGTCTGGCTGCCACTGCCGACAGCTTCTGCCAGCTCAACGGCAACGGAGGCTTCGGTGCCGCCACCGTCTACAACGAGACTGTCGGTTACTGGTCCAGCTTGACCGGCAACAACGCTCTTGGCTTTGATGGACGCCCCAGCCGCGAGGCCACTGGCAGAATCTGGAACGAGGGACTCGCCTTCTACGGCTGGATCTTCTACCTGAGCAAGTTCTACGAGGTCCTTGACACCTTCATCATCCTCGCCAAGGGCAAGCTCAGCTCCACCCTCCAGACCTACCACCACGCCGGTGCCATGATGTGCATGTGGGCTGGTATGCGCTACATGTCCGCCCCTATCTGGATGTTTGTCCTAGTCAACTCCTTTATCCATGCCATGATGGTAAGTTTTGCGCCTATTTTGCTCAACTGAAGTGTTGCTAACAGTCGTCTAGTACACCTACTACACCATCACCGCTTTCAACATCCGCGTCCCCATGGCCATCAAGCGAACCCTCACCACTCTCCAGATCACCCAGTTCCTTGTCGGAGCTACCTACGCCATGGCCCACTCCTTCGTTTCGTACACCGTCCCCGTGACTGTCTACACTGCCAAGAAGGGTGCCGATGCTATCACCCAGTCTTCCACCAGCACCGCCGCCGAGACCGTTGCTACTGCCGCAACTGGCGCCTTTGAGGCTCTTAAGGACATGGTCTTCGGCGCCTCTGCTAAGGTCGCTGAGGAGGCTGCCGCTGTCTCCGTCGCCGCCGCCGCTGCTGTCCCCCCTCAGCCCGGGTTTGTTGCTGAGACCGTCTTCGTCACCCAGCCCTGCGTTACCACCAGCGGCGAGACCTTTGCCATCTGGCTCAACGTCCTCTACCTGGCACCGCTCACCTACTTGTTCGTCATGTTCTTCATCCGCAGCTACATCCGCCGCAGCACCGCCGCACCCAAGGGTAAGGGCAAGGCCCGCCGTGAGAGCAATGTTACTCTTGCGGAGAAGGCTGGCTGGGACGCCGCCCGCGAGGTCAACCGCGAAATCTACAACGGCTCTGCCTCGTACAACGTCGAGGGCAGCCCCAAGCGCGCTGGTAACGGCAAGGCCAAGCACTAGCGAAAGTTGGCACACATGGATCGGTCCTGAATTTAGGACGTAATGGGAAAAGGGGAAAGGGGGAAACTCGGCTGGAAGAGAAGCCTGAAAGAGGTCTTCTCGTGGAGGTGGCATTGGGTTTGATTCAACGGCGTTTTGAGCTGGGAAAACATGATTGGGGTAAAGCATTCGCATCACCCGGAGCGCTCGTTATCTAGTCGTGACCGTCTAGTGTCTTGCATTTTGCGCGTAGGGTAAATAGGGCGAGCCGGGTGTCATCCATCCGGTGCAAGTATGTATAGTCATCATCAATATGAAATTTTACATGTTAAATATTTTCGTGCATATTGGTTTTTGTTGAAGAGGTGTCAGGTCGAATTTACGGCCTAGGAAATGTATTTATCAGGATTTCCATCATTCACATCCGGGGTGTAGAAGCATGATTGTACAACATTTCCGGAACGGGGAAAAGGGGGAAAGCCACCTCGTGTGACGACGCGGTGACGGCGAAATTACGGGATACAAACCCGAGCTCTCGGGTCCGATCAGCCGGACCATCTTCTCCGCATTTTCGTCGTCTTCCGGATGCGGTGGGGGCCAAAACCGGAGCTCACTCCGATGTGGTCGGAAGGAGGGGAGAGGAAGGGGGGTGGTAGACGTACCAAAATTAGTATGCCGTGTTCAGCCTCTCCTCTCTCTTTTTTGTTCACCCGCATATCCACCTTGTCGATCTCTTGGCTGTTTGTCTCTGGGTTTTCTGGGGCAAGTTGTCTCTGGATGAGTCAGTCGTAGTGGTTTCGAGTGAAACCGTACGACCACGTCGCGCTGCATGAGAGCTGCTTCAAATGAGTCGCCAAGTTGAAATGTTTGATGAATTCTCTACGGTACTGATGAATGCGTGTAAATCGAAACAATTGCTGAAGATTGTCAACTAGACCAATGCCACATGTATTTCTGGTACCGGGGCGTGTGGGCAAGGTAGTCGTCGTCGGTCTTCCAGAAACGGGTTCGGCCACGATACGAGGGAGTCGAATTCGCCACTGAACCCTGAAGTGAGTTTCTCTCTGTCTCTGAATAATAGATTGCATTATTAAATTACCGCGAAGCCTCGTTCTCTACACGCCATGTAGTTCTTGTTTGCCCTTTTGCGCCCTGACTCAATTCCAAGCGCAGTGCATAGGTAAATGAATATGCTATTTAGTCAACCTCAAATTATGATCCGGATTCTGGAAACAGATTAAAAATTAAAAAAAAAAAAAAAAAAAAAAAAAAAAAAAAAAAAAAAAAAAAAAAAAAAAAAAAAAAAAAAAAAAAAAAAAAAAAAAAAAAAAAAAAAAAAAAAAAAGGCTTTACAATACGATGAGGCGCAAAAAGCTCGAAACGTACTCATCTTGTGTGGCAAGATGTATCGAACGCCCTGCTTGTCTGCGGAGAGCTTGTTCATAGGGTACGACGTTTCGTTTTTCGACTCGCGCATAACGCCCGTCCGGAATAGGCACTGCCTTGTATGAATTGGGAAGATAAACTAGGGCAAGAAGGAACCAAGCAAGTCTATCTTGGGGAACCCATGGGATTGTGGATTCGCGGGGGTGGGGATTTCCATTAGCCCTCTGCTGATCATTTTCGATGTCCGCTGCTTTCGTCCAACCTTGTGCGACTTTACCTCCGTCATGTATTGTATCCCAATCAAGGTGGTGCTGATTTGGAAATAGGTAGTAGTGTTTCTTAACTCATATTCGCGTCCTGCGTACATGGGAACACACCTGACTACTTGGAACGATACCTAGCTTTCACTTACTTCGTCATGTTCGCCTGCAACGAGCAGACTCGAAGACAGTAGCTCTGGAAGAAGTGAAGTGGCCACGGCATGGGAGGCTCTCAAGGCACCAGCAAACCAAAATCCCATACCTTACTCGAACAATTTCCTTGCCGCCACAAGCCAGGCCAACAACGGCCCTGCAGAGTCATCTACCTAGCAGTGCTGGAGAAAAGGGCGGCGAGATCCAGGTAGACGAATCACAACGACGCTTCCGGCGATGAATCATACAAAGCACACACTCAAATTACCCTAGGTACACGTACTACACATGCATACACCCCCCTTCCTCTCGTCGTTAATCCAAGCTCCTAGGCACCCAGGAGCTAGCCTCTAGCCTAGTTTCTTCTTTCCCCAAGCTCCCTCTCAAGCTAAATCGAACCGCAACAGGCGCGGGGGCTACCTTACTATAGGTGTGTGTTTGGCCTCACCTCCTCTTCTTCTTGCTCACCGTGACCGCCTCTCCTAGCTAGATATCTGGGCCTCGCATCTTGCATTTCCTCACATGCTACTGATGCTCCCAAGTCGGGCTTAGCCTACCCGGGAACACTCTCTCCACCCAACTCGCAGATACCAATGAATCTCGCGAGGAAGAAGACATCAAAATATCAGCAGCACAGCCACACGTGGGAAATTTGAAACAAATTAATTGAATGGGACAAGGAAAATGCGAGCAGTCATACAGACAGCAAGAAAAGAGACAACAAGATCACCAGAGGAAACGACCCGTCGAGGCCCAACGTTCGACTCAATGCAGAACGCTAGGCTACCTTCGGCTCAAGAATGATGACCACCCACCACCACCAACGACCGACGACCTGCCTTACACCGCACACGACCTATGCTGACCGATTTTACTCCGCACAGGTCAACGACATCTGACCGTTGGGCGGTGAGTCAAGTATCGAAAGAGGTGTTACGAATGTTCCCGGCTCACAAATAGAGAGACATCATGAATGTTTACTAATTGCAGGCAGCAGCTGCCATAACCTTAGGAAAGGGGTGTATAGAGCGTGACTAAGGAATCCCGTTGTCATGGCCTAAACCGACAGAAAGACAATTCATTAGGCCTCTCGGTCAGCATCGTGTGAAGTTGAGACCAGGAAAGACTTTACTCGGGTGATAACACCTAGAAACCTATGGGGGAGTCCTTCTAATTAGTAGACACGGGAACCGTAGAGCTCGCAGGACCTTGATTACACCACTTTTCAACGCTCGTGTCCCATTCAGCAGAGAATATTCAAAAAGACCACTCCCACTCCCGATGACAAACACCTCCTGATTCTCATCCTCGTAGGCCATCATATGAGAGAATAGTACTGAGACCAAAACAGTTGAAGGCCTGGTGATTGGTACTCATCCGTCCACTAGTTCAACCATCCTCTGGGCTTCCAGGAGTAAGCGCACCGGGGTCCACGGTGCTCTCATATCCTGGTAGCTCACTCACCCTTGTTTTTATAGTAGCAATGTTGCCGCACGTCTTCATCATCTGCATCAGCACGCGAGATACCATAGAGCTCCGGCCGCCAAGGTCAAGACAAAACAGACTCAACAGTCACTCCCTCGAACATGTATCACATACATGACTTAATCACAAGTCACCGATGAGCCAACGTTTAGAGTCAATGGGAGAGTTTGTTTGCAATTGTTTGTATTGTTTCTTCCGAGACCTCGGAAAAGTGAGAGAGGCAAAAGCGGCTGGACTCGGCCGCCAGCGCGAACAAGGTTGGCTGCGCGTCCGCTCCGTCCAGGTTGTTTCCCACCATCCCCCCTCTCTGGATCTCCGAACCATCAACCAATACGATGACGGCAACTCTAAATACACGCAACGCCGATCCATGAAGGCGTTCGGCCGACTTGCTCCGCCCTCTCGTCTCTTTTCCCCCAATCTCAGGTGTAGGATAGTCATACCCCCGGATGGAGATCCGAGTACGCGGTGCGAAAAGCATGTGGCCGTCACATCAGGGTATAAGCCTTCAGAGGGGTATGCCGCTAAAACTCCGTAGAAACTGGAGTGTTGAAAATTAAGAGCCCGGTTGTATCGCTTTCCCGTAAAAACAACCCTTTTCCATATGCGATTGATATGAGGGGAGTTTGGCAAAGCCAAATCCGAGTCTTTGAGTGTCCGTCCAACGCCACGCTGTAAATGCAAAACAGAGTCCAGGCCAATCCGGCAGGGCTCGAAAACCGATGAGGCGTTCTATTGCGGATGAAAGTGATAATGGGTGACGCATGGTGCAGTCCATTAATGGGTATTGGTGTGTGAGTCGAAGGGGTGTGTTGGTGACTCCCCATGTCTGGTGTCGTCGGGGCGGCTGGTGAGAATCGCCACCGTCGTGTGAGTAAGTCTATGATTCTATTGTTTCGCTCTTCATTAGGGCCATGAGTCGTAATTCACTGGGTGCGAGAACACCCTTGTGCTTTCTTTGTCGTCTCCAATGCACAGTGTACATTTAGAATGTGCTCCAGTTCCAGTCGCGAGGAACACTAGCAGCTACCTCGGGGCCCTTGGTAGGGGGAAGCATGCCAGGCATCATCGGGGCAACGGGGCTCGCGACGATGGGGCTCGACGGGGTGCCAGAGGAGTCGGAGCTCTGATCGCTACCGCTGCGGCTGCCGTTACGGCTCTTCCATACCTTAAATTCGGTGAAGCAGTGAAAGCAGGCGCGAGCGAGGACTCCTCTGGGGTTGTAGTTGCAGTCCTCGTCCAGAGGGATGGCTTCGCCAGAGTGGGTGCCGCAAAAGATGTTGCCACAGCGGCGGCAGTGATGGCGACGGTTCAGGGCGTTGAACTTGCGCTTGCAAGTTGGGTCGTCGCACATGATGGACTCGGAGTCGGGCTGTTGGAATTTTGTTAGTTGTATACTTCAAGGCAAATGGGCGAGATTGTTGCGATAGATCCAACATACCTTCCAGTGCTTGCGAGTGGGTTCGCCAGCGACGTCAGGGAAGAGCTCAGGGTCCAGCTCAAGGTCAATAACCTTGCCACTGTCACCGGTGGAGCGGCGCGACAGCTTGGCTCCGAGAACGCTGAAGCCAGGGAGGCTGATGAAGCTGCTGTTGGCGCGGCGCAGGCAGAGCAAATCCTCGCCGTCGAGGTCCTCAACCTTGGGAGCGCGCGGCTTCTTGGAGTGGTGCTGATTTGGACGGAGGACGGCGGGCACGTAAACGGGGCGAACCGACTCGGTGAGGTACGACTTGGGCGAGGTGGGAGAGCCTTCGTGAGGAGTGCTCAAGGGTGATGTGCGGTTGCGAAAGGGCTGCGGTTGCGGTACTGTCTGGAAGGAGTGGGATCGAGTGTGTGTGAAGTGAGGGCGATCCTGAGGGTAGAAGGAGGGGCCGCGCTGCTCGGCGAGAGTAGGCATTATGAGGTCGGTTGCCATTGTGTCGAAGTCGAGGTGAGGTTGGTTTATAGGAATTGTTGGTGTAAGTGAAGCTCGACGGTGAAGGATGCAGGGCGTCCTAGGTGTTCAAGGCGCTCGATTGCTGGAAGTCGAAAGGGCGCGTGGTTAATTTCTCGTGAGAATCGATGATGAAAAGCAACTAGTAGTTGTTGCGGCAAAGTGTTTGGTGATTAGAAAAAAAGAACGGGACGAGGTTGTTGGCGTCGCGTTTGTTCGGGAATGCTTGGTATTAAACCTGGTGTGAACCGCAGATCGAAGCGGTGCCCAAGAGGATAGTAGAGGTATGGGTATAGTTGTGGTTGTGTTGGACGGTGGTTTTCGGTGTAGAGATAAGGATGCGCTGTGCCACCAAACGAGGTCGTACTTTTTGGGTTTGCTTGTGAATGTGAGGTGTAAGTGAGGTGAAGATGACCTGATCGGGAGTGGTGAGTGAGTAGGCAATCGCAGCAAGATAAAGATGCGTGCGTTGCGATGGAGGGGAGCGGATTGGTGAAGTAGTTTGGGCGGGATGCTTGGGGTCTAAATGGATGGGACGAGACTCGGGGGTGCGGAATGAGGGGGGGCGTGAGGATGAGAGGCCCAGTAGCCTTGAGGGCGATTCAGTCGGATGGAGGGGGGTGCGCTGTAGGAGAGTACGTACACTATCTTATGGGCGGTGGGTGGAAAAGGGAAGGGGGGGGGGATGCGGGAGCGGGTTCCCTATTAGATTTATTCCTGCGGCAATTGGCGGAGGGAGTTGCCCGCCCTCTTCCTCTCCTCCAGTGCCAGACCATACGCAGTTAGTAGACGACGGTACAGGCAGGAAAGAGAGTGAGGAATGAGAAGGGGGGCGTGTCTCTCATCCACCCTCTCACTCTCTGCTTTCTCTCTCTCATTCTCGTCGTCTCTCTCGCTCTCTATCCGTACCTATCTGCTCTAAGAGACGTATGGTGGGCGTGAGACTTGAAAGCAGTAGTAAACAAGACACACACCCTCTGCCTCTCTCTCTCTGTATCTTCTCTCGGCATGGCTTTCCTTTCCTCTGTGCATACCGCCGGTACCGTACTCTCTCCTTGAAAGGTGGCCCATCGTCACTTTCTTCTGCCCACAACGCTTTGCCTCGCCGTTTCTCTGGTTTCGCTACCAACTTACATCCACACGTTGCTGAATTTAAAGTTTTCTTCAACTCCAGCACATATATACAACCTTCAAGCCAAAACGATATCGCGACCAAAGCAGCATACTGTAAACCTATATGGTCACTACAGTCCCCGTGGGAAACTTCAAAAAAGCCGCGGCGAGAGCAGCTCAGGCCACACACCACCACTCGGTTAGTAGTAAGTCAAGGGAGCGCGGTACGACAACCCTGGGACCGCGGAAACGTGAGGCGCAAAGGCGGCGGCCACGATCATCGCAGCGGCGGCGGCGACGGCGGCGACCGCCCTTTCGCGCTGCAAGGAATCCCCGTCCTCACTTCACCCTCTCTCTCTCACTCTTCAGACTCTCCCCCCTCCCAATTCCGCGCCGTGGTCCACCTCCCCCGGAAGGCCCTTCCCAAGAAAAGACCGCTACAAGAGCCAGAGCCACAGCCAAAAAGAGGCCCAGAGCCAAAGTAGGCCAAGCGTCCTCTAGCCTGGAAGCGGTTTAGCCACCGCCCTGGTCCTGTCGCCGGGTGGGCAGCGGTCTTCTACCCGGGTTGTGGTTGGCTGTAGAGAGGTCCGAACCCTTGTCCAACTCAGGACGATACCCCGGGGGCCACCAAGTCCTCGTCTCGTCCCAACTGCCACTGCAGAACGGATAGCCTCCCGTGCCTCTGGCTCTCTGGCTCTGGCTCTGGTCCTGGAAGAATATGTTTCCACAGTGGCTCGAAAGTCGAAACTCCCTCCTCCGAAAGTGCCCTCCAAGCCTCCCGCGGGTTCCTCTCCTTTCCTCCCCTAGCCTCCTCCAATCCTCCTCCTCCTCCTCGAGGCTCGCCCTCTTTCTTCGCTCCATTTTCAGCACGGCCCCCAGCATTGTCTCTGCTGCTCGCTTCATCTTCCGTGCGCTGCTCCGGCTTATTGTTCCCTTCGTCTCGTCTCGTCCGTGACCATTAACCCCCCATGCCCAGTCGAGAAGCAAGGTCCGACGCTGCTTCAGCTTTGCTTACAATCTTCCAGAAGCCAAAAGGACCCTGAAATTGAAGCGGCTATTCTGTACGTAAGGCGAATGCCCCGGCCCACGCCGCTAGCCCGCGCTGCCCACGTCGTTGAATGAAGATCGCTGGGAACCTCCTTGACCAACGGGGCTGCTCGCGTGTCTTCAACTCAGTCTCCTTCTTCTTGCCGCAGTCAAGCCGCCGCTAACGCCCCCGGGATACCGAACCTATCCTTACAAACGGCCTCTGTACCTTCCTCTAAGGTTTAGTTCGTAGGGACTCTTGGCTCTTTTGCAGAGCTTCTAGACGGCCAAGCTCGTGTCATTCGAGATCACGGGCTTCAACTGCCCCAGCTTCCTAAGTAAGTGACCAGGTTACCCAGTTCCAAGGGTTTCGAAGACGAGCAGGCGAGCAGAAAAAAACAAAGAAAATAAAATAAAACACAGGATAGAGAAAAAAGCAATAATGCTTCTGTAGCGCCTGTAGCTCGTAAATTAGCGGTGGGCGAGAAAGCTGTCGGGGTGAACCTTTGAGACACGATGGCCCTCCAAAACCCCACTTGACGTCGCCCTCCCGCCTCGTCACTTTATTGCCTGGCTGGTACGAAGTTACGAACTGCTCCAATTGTCCAGCCATTTTTGACACTCCGGAGAAAGACCGCAATATCGCCTTGGCTCTCTCTGTCTCTCTCTCTCTCTAGACGATGGCCGTTTTTGGCGTCCGCTTGTAAGTGCCGACAGCTAGAGCCTAGGTGACGACGGCGACAACCTACACGAAGGGTGGGCAAGTTAAATTTGCTCAACGTAATAGCTGCTCTTGGGTTGGTCCAAGAAGGTTCATGTTTATTGCCGCTTCACGATGCGGCTCCTCTTCCACGCTGCGGTTGCTGCATCGTCACCGCCGTGGCCCGAAATACACATTGACAGGGGCCGTCGGACAGAGACCGATCTGGACTCTGGTGAGCGCCTTTGTTTTTTTGCCGGCTGCCGCTCGTATCGCTCTCTCGCTCGCATCGACTAAGGCGGGCTCGTCAACGCATATCGGGATTCGGGGATCCTTCCTCCACTTCTTCCATGGATGGAGCGGCTCGCCGCTTGCCCAGCATGTAGCAGGGGGCAATGAACCGAGAATTCACAGGGGCATGGAGCTCTTGATCCTGTGATTGCTTGTACGTACGCAAAATGTCGAACTGTCATATCTGTTTATGAGTAGGCATAGTGCTGTCCGGAGATGTCCTTGCGGCTGCATTCATTCACTGTGTAGTAATTTGCTTGTGTCCGGTAGCTTTGGTGTAATGAGCAGGTTGATGCTGGTTGTGCTGCTGAGGGTATTCCCATCCTAGGATGCTGTTCCCGACAGGAGTCCTTCTTTGGCGGCGATCCGCCTCCTCCCCTCCCCTTCCCTCCCGATGCGTGGATGCGTGCGCGCATCCATTCATCCGTCCAGGACTCCAGACGTCCATCCTGCAGAATACCTTATGCGTGTGCACCGCGATAGGCGGGACCCAATCGTCCTGTGCGACGTCGGAACGCCTGGTCTGAGTGCCCCTCTTGGTGATGACAGGCAGATCAGACTTGCTGCATGTTAGTCGGCCGTGACCCAGAAACCAGACCCAGGCCTAGCAACGAGAGTTGCATTTCGACTACTCTCGACTCTTGGAATTGTCTCGAACTCGAACCTGATGCGGCATGCAAACGCTATCCCTGCTGCTTGAGTTGCTTGGTTGTCTAATGAATCAGCTCACGAGGCATGAACTAGGCCTGGGCCACAGGTGCGAGTATTGCTAGACCGCTGCGAAGCGTACCGCCTGGAGTTGCTCTTGTCTTTCTGTTACTGCGTGGCAGATGCGGGGGGAAATTCCGAAGTCTGAACCATAGGGAAAGGCGCCAAAACCCACCGCTCATCTGCTCAATTGCTGCTTTCGGCCATCTAGCCGGGGTCTGTCTGTTTCTCTCGCCCTCTCCACATTGTGGGGATTCATCCTCCATTGGCACTGGTCGTCGACTGGACCAGACGAACGCTGTTCATTTCCAATCGCCGTGACTCGCTACCTCTTCTCCGATCTCCAGCCTCCCCAGTCGAGGCTCGTTGCTTGTTGTTCGCGTGGTTGGCACGGTTGACAGTGTCCGTCATTCAAACAGTGGGTTATAGCTTGTGGGTGAAGGTGGCTGCGCTCCAGCCTCCAACACCACTTCTGAAATTACCATGCTTCAGCCTCCGTGATGATGGGTGCACCGTCCACATTGCCGGGCTGAAGGCGATGTGTCGTCTGGCTGTCTTGGAGCTGCAGCAACCACAGCAAGCGTCCTGTCAGTTGCCAACGGGGTTGCTGCAGGGTGTGTGGCACAACGTCGGTGTGCTATTTGCGGAGGTGATCAACCACATGGGAGAGTCTGACAGTCAGTCGCGTTTGTGTTGTCGCTGCAATCCGCCGCCAGCTTTGTGGCTCCCGACCGCCGTCCAACGCTTGCAAGGTGACAGGACGGGATGCCGTTGAGACTTGAGTGACAAGCCATGCCAAACTTGTCCGTAAGTCGCAAAGTCGCAAGTAGCTGCATCTTGATGACGAACCCTCGAATGTCCTGCTCAAGCCTCTTGCTCAGATGATGCTCTCGACAGGCTCTGCCTTCAAGCGCTGCTTCTTCCGAAGCCACAAATCAATCAATCTCCAACCCAATACGTCAGGTTCGCTATGGTTCGGATTTCCAGTGGCCCATCAGGCCGATCTGGCGTGTCGGCCGAGTGAGAGAGGGACGGGAGTTTGTCTCATTGGCCACCCGTTGTTTCGTGGCCTGAACTCACTCCTCCAACGTTCGCAAAGACTCCGAGATGTACTCCGTCCTCTGGAATAACTCGCAGTGCTGTAAGGGTCCGTGGAGAAGTTGTCTCCAAATCCGAGTCATTCCAACCACTGAATATGACGCAGGCAGTGCAACCTCCGATTCTCGTTGATTTCGGCCAATGTCCATCAATTCCTGGACGAGTAAAACCCAATCCAGCCACAGATGAAAGATCTGCTCCGAAAACTTGACAAGTGAGAGAAATCGACAGAGGTCGACGTCGACACCCCACCGCGCCTCATGTCTGCGAGGAAGCCCCGGAGCTTCAGCAGCGAGATGCCACACTCTAATGGAGATTGAGGGGTCAATGGGCCCAGTATCTGTATCTGGATCCGTGCAGCGTACTCCGTACGGGTACCCAAAGCAACGCGAAGCGAAGCTTTCTTTGAAGCAGAGGCCAGATGGGCAACTGGGCCGAATTGAGAACACTGTGCAGGAAGAGGATCCAGAAACTTCAGCAAGAGAACCGGTCGAGTGGAGCTCTTCCACTCTCAATCCCACGATGCTCTGCTCCAGAACACACCCAGAAGCCTGGAGACTGTGGCCGTTACGGAACCGCTTTAGCTTGGCATTTGCAAATAGGTTGCTCTGAGGGCCCGCCCAAGACGGCGCTTCAACGTTTGCGGTCGAATTTCTGTGGTGCTGAGAGATATTATCATCAAAACCACAGGCTGAAGGGCCTGCCGCCTCGCCCGAGCTGTGGATAGGGCCGCGGTACTCTGTGCAAGTGTGGCGGGGATCCCAGCAGGCAAAACCGCTGCGCAGCATTGGCAATGGGGGAAGCCAATGCAGCTCCAGCTCCAGCTCCCGTTGGCCACCCCTCTTCCCCTTCTTCTTTGCCACAGCCTCGCGACGCCAGTCTGTTCGTTCGCTGTCGCCGAGCGCTAGGACGCAGGAGACGTGAAGAGTCCCCGGAATCTGGCCGACTCCACAGCCTCTCACTCTCCCGTCCGTCCACTGCACCTCGGCGGTTTTTTGGCTGTTGGCTTCGGGCGTGTTCCTCTTCTGACAGCAACGTCCGGCCGAGGCTCAATGCCGGCACCGACAAACCAACCATGCCTTTGACGGGGAGGCGAAACGCTCCAAGACGGGACCGCGGTTGCATTGTTGACAGAGCGGAGGATATGAGACGCGAACGACAAAGACCAGAATGCGCTCTCTGTCAAACCTGCGCCACTTATTTCCGTGGGACCACGAGGGCGACGACGACGACGCCGCCGCCCAACGGCAGAAAAAGAGAGACACCGACATTTCAGTTGCTGAGTACTTGTTTATCCCTGTAAGATAACAGGACGACTGAGTCGGTCCACTGCCAATTCAGTCCTGTTCGCGGCCGGCAACATCAAGATTCGATAGGCTTTTTGCAGGTAATGGTGGATACCCTAACAGCAAAGCAAGCGATAGGCTTGGAATGTTGGGGTATATATCCGTAGATACAGAGTTAAGAAGGGGAAAAAAGGAATTCTCTATGAGACTTGTCGCTGCCCGATGGCTGTCCGTTACCCCTTTGCCCGATGGCACGGTCAGTGGCCGGGACGAGATAGTCCAGGATCCCAGGGCAGCCGTTTCGCCGCCATCAGAGATGATCCCTACAGGTGAATGGCTCGCGTGTAAGCGACGTGGTCTTCCCCGGATTGAGGTTCAAATGAGACATGTCGTTGTTAAACGAGCCTCATCTCTCTCCAGAGGGTCCTTTTGAAAAAGCAGGGGGCTTGATCAACCGGAGATATGTCAAGCAGGAAGCTCCAAGGGCATCGTTGGTTTCATCGATAACAGAATCAGGTGAGGCTATCCGAGGGGATGGGACCGGCTATGGGCGTTGTGGATTGTCGGTGAGTTTTGGATTGGAGTCGCATCGGCAGTGATCCTCACGCCCAGGAGCGCGGACAGCCAAGCCGTCGATGGCAGTCGTAAGATGTGAATTCTGAGGCCTTTTCTTTCGTCTGGGGGAGGGGGGGCGATTTCGTAGAGGCAGAGCGAAAGAAAGGCCATGCAAATCTACGAGAGGTCGTTCGAGTCGGGCCACAAAGAGACAAAGTGACAAAGTTGACACGCAGAGAGAGAGTTGAACCGTTTCGCTGGGAGGCTGACTGAGCCTGTGGTGGTTAGACTGTGGTACGTACTGAGTCTTGCAAGGAAGAGGGCAGGAGCGAATCGAGATAACGAACCACTTTTTTGCAAGAAAGAGCACAGACGCGCTTTCCCCAAAATGGTATCCTTGCTGCATGCCATGCTTCGATATCCCTGTCATCATTCAATCGATGCAGAGTCCTCATCGTTCATTGGCTGTGATGTTTGCACCGTTATCGCCAGTCTCTGATTGGTCGCTTACTCAATTCATGGTGACGCACTCTTGCCTCAGGCAAGATTCACTAGACGTGCAGGGCCACCAAAGGACCTCGGGGCGTGTAGGGAACAAGCTCCGATTCCGGGTCCATCACCTCCTTCACGTCCTTCACGTTCGCTGCCGAAGCGCGTTCGCGGGCTGGCAAACGCCTGGCGAGCGAATGGGCAGCTGGCGCATGCAGGGCGTTCGACATGTGACGTCGACTCTGCCGGCATCCCTCGTCGGCGCAGTCGGTGACGGCTCGCTCACCGCCTAGTGACATTCTAACACGCTACAGCGAATCGTACAGAGAGACGCAGCAACAGCTGGCGCATTTCGCTGTTATCACCGTACCGCTTTGCTTTTTTCCATGCCACCCTATCCCGGCCGGGGGTTCGATGCCGCCCAAATGAGTGTTTGAAGGTTGCTGTCTATTGCTTTCCGGCATGGCGGAGGTTCATCCGTCAATTATCTGAACCTCCAACCCGGTTCCCCGAATAGGGCAATTGAGAGACAGGAGAGAGTGAGATTGCTGGACAACGAACGGGACGACAGTAACCTGACTGATCCAAAATAACACACCCCCCTCAATCCGATACCTCAATCTGACACCGATGCCAACGACGACAACCACCACCACCAAAGCCAAGAGAAAGTCAACGACCGTTCCATGTCAAGATGCGTCGTGATGGTGTTGCCGCCGCCCGCCGGCGTCGATCCGTGCAACAACCCTTCCCTTCGCCTAAACTGCGCCGCCCGGTCGATCTGCTGCCCCAACCATTCTTCCCCCAGACTCTGATGTAAGGGCGAGAGGTCTTGCGCTCCCAAACACTTCCCAACTTTCGCGACGTTCAAGGGGGATTTTCATGATCGTCCGCGCGGGAAGGGAAGGAATGTGCGTAAGACGGAAGCGCCAGCTCCATGCTAGGCTACCTAGCAAATTGTTTCCCCGCGGAGGCACACTCACCACCACCCCCGAAATTCCAATGGGAACTGAGACTCAACCCTCCAAAAGGCTGTCCGACATGAACCCTGCCACCGGCAAGATGCCCGGCTGGCCCGCGCTATCGTACCCGACGCCGGTCGCACCGGCCGAGAAGTTAGAGAGAGCCTCGCCCCCTTTTCCATCTTGAACATCTCTTCTTCTTTCTATCAGGCCCTACCTTCCTTCCGGGCCCCGGGCCCCGGGGGAGGGAGGGTGCGCAAATCCTCGAGAAGAAAACGCCAAATGACGTACCGGAGGGTTGCTCTTCTTCCGCTCTAGGAAGGCTGACACGGGATCGCTTTGGGGTAAATCGAGATTTCGACACAATGGCCCAGTATGGTTCCCACGCCCTCCCCATCACTTCTTTGACTCCAAAGAGACTCCAAATCTTTCCAGGCTTTTCAGCCTATCTATCTGACTCAACATGCTGGACGATTGACGACGAGAAAGAAGTAAGGGGAACAAGGAAGCAAAATCCCGCGATTGTCGCTTCCTGTAGTGGTGCTTTGGCTTTCGCAAACATGACGTCGGTGCTAAACACCAAACCCCAGGTGCGGTCCTTGACGATCAGGATAACCCCCGTACGGAAAACATTGCCAAGGATCGCCCAAGCTTAGATATCGATGCCCCGAGGAGAAGCAGTACATACGTAAGTATGCCGGGCATCTTGGAAAGAACTGACGCACAGAAGGTGTTTTGGCCCTTTTGATTGTCACTCTCAAGCTTTGTCCAGGCCGTTATCAGAAAATGTGAGAGTAAAGAGAGAGAGCCCTGACAAGCCGACGCTCGACAGCGTTCCTGATTGGTTCTGCATCCTCAAAGCATTGTTTCCCGATTGCCTGAGCGCGAAAAAGTGACAGGTAGGATTCTCTCATGGGAATTGACCAAACCTTGATAACGGAAGTTCCGTCCGCTGCTGCGCTGCATAGAATTAAGGTTCATCTAATGGCCTCGTGTTTCTCCATGTGTGGTGTGCACGGCCGGAATTAGTCTAGAATGTCTGACCCTGAAATGAGCAAGTCCGCCCAAAATGCTAATTGCTTAGACTGCCAGGAGTTCTGTAGAATCATACCCATGGAAACTGCGAGTTTATCTTGTTGCACCCTCAAGTTTGATCTCCTGCACCAAAGCAACTCATATGGCTACCTAATCGGCCCAAGACAAATCGCAAGGTTTTGAAATCTAAACGTGACGCAAGCAATAGTCCTGCTTGTTGATCAAGACGAACTTTCGTCTGTCAACTCAGATAACAAGATCAGGGTTGGGCTCCACGGTGAACGTCTCACGTACACGCCTTGCAATATTAGAAGCTGCCTTCCAATATATGTCCACTGTCTCTAGACGGTGGTTACTACTTACTTATTCTACTGTGATTACTCATGAGGAGACGGATGAGGTCTAATGACTGAACGCGGCGATGGTGATATACGAGCCCGCAATGAATCTCAAAAGAACAATATTCAAAGCGAAGCTGTTATGTTCACCATTCATAATCAGACCAATTGCAGCCTGGGTAAAACAGCTCACTTCTAGTTGGAAGGCATCGATGTCGTGCCACCAAGCACAATATCTTTATATACCTCCATTGAAGAAGTCTCGGCACGCAAGCGCGCAAATGCCTCTGCTCGTCCACTTTGCGAAGACGACTGTTCCGTTTGGTTCGTAGATTAGCGGGAGTCCTCAGCTAGCCTCAATGAGCATTGGGAGACCGCGAAATCAGCATCTTTAGCCCAGAGACTGAGAAATGAGGGGATATTTCAATAAGTGAGTAGATAAAATCAGTCATCTCTTATCCGGCACTGTGAAGACTTAGTACTCCTGAGGCATGTGTTGATGGAAGGGGAGCAATCGTCATTGTAGCATCTATAAGGGAATCGCATTGTGCAATGATGGGTATCGAGACTACAGCAAAGCTCAGCTGTCGTGACACAACGATCCGGTCTGCTGAAGTGTTGAAATTCATTGACCAAGGGTGAGTGAAGTCGGCATCAACTTCAGTCAGTGTCTCTGGGCATGGAAGAATGCAAACAAAGTGCTATCGAAGTCGCATTCGAAATTGGTATAAGGCATAGCGAACATTTTGTTCACTTACACTACTACGAAAGTCTGCTACTTGTCTATAGGGAAAGGGCATAAGTTCCGGTTGACTGATTTTATCCAGTTACTCTTGAATGATGTATTAGTTAGGAGTTCATCAAGTCTAAGGTAATATCAGGTACTGCTGTTCGACATCTTTCCAGGACATCAATTCTCGCTGCAAGAAACTCGATCAATTCAAATTTGACTTCTCCTCATCAACCCCTCATCATCACCCTTTTCTATGTCAAGCTGAACGTTTTAACTAATAACATCTATTACTCCCCCGTTGTGCCGCTACTATTCCACAACTCCCTAAACATGCCCCCTTCCTGATCCTTCAACACTCGCGGTGCCCCTTTCTCAGCAACACTGCCTTTATCCATGACCACGACCGTATCACAGTCCAAAACCATATCCAGGCGATGAGACACCATGATAATCGTATAACCCTCAAACTCCCTGCGAATAATATCCTGCATAACAAGGTCCGTAGCCCGATCAACACTAGAAGAAACCTCATCAAGCAACAGTATACCACCTTCGGTACCGCCACGGCTCTTCACCCGCCTCCGTAAGACCGCCCGAGCCAGACAAAACAGCTGCTTCTGCCCCTGGCTGAAAGACTCCGCGGTGAGTCCGGCACCTATCCCGCCTCGCTCCTGTATCCCCGCGAGTAATCCTACTTGCTCCAAGACCTCGAGACACTCAGCCTCGGTCGCCGCATCAAACGGGTCGAGGTTGTCTCTCACCGAAGAGCCGTCGGGGAGGAAGATTGCGTCCTGTGAGACGGCTATGATGCGGCGCCGCAAAGTATCTCGATCGACTTTGCCGAGAGGCACGGAGTCCATCACAATGCTACCCGCACTCCCAGGTAAAGTCTCGATGAGACGAAGCAGCAAGAGGATGAGCGATGATTTGCCGCTGCCTGTTCTTCCGCATATAGCTACCCTCTCGCCGGGTCTGATTGAGAGTTGCAGATCTCGGATGGCAAGATCCGCAGGCGGCTTCTCCTCGCCCGCTGAGTTGGGCTGATCCCTGGAGACTCTGTAAGACGCTGAAACTCCTTTGATCTCGATTGCTCCCTTCTCAGGCCAGCTTTCCTTGGGAATGACATCTTCGTCGGGCCCAGTCTCTGGAGTCACCGTGTCGCTAAACGTCTTTAGGCGCGCCACTGCTCCTATACTTGTTTCTAGCATGGTGTACGACTGAACGATTGTAGTCAGGGTATCACCGAAAGACATGAGAGTTACTAGTGATGCACCGGTGAATCCAGAGCTGGCGCGCAGTTGCGTCGCCAACGTCACTACGATGGTCGCAAGGGCAGCCACGAGTAACTTGAGTGCTAGCTGTAGCCAACGCTGGATGATTGCGAGCTGATATGCTGGCCTCTGGCTGGTGTCAAGAAGGTCGTTGTTGACTGTGATATCTGCAGAGATGAAACCCAGAGCTCTCAACGTCGCTAAACCCTTGAGAGTATCGATAAAATGAGAGCTGTGAACAATATGGGTCAGTGCAGTCCTAAATGAGTTTAGATAGCAGTCACCAGCAGACTCACTAGAGAGGACTCTTTGCTTCAAGCTCTAGAACACGTAGCTGCCTCGAAGTCCGAAGGTAAAACATCTGCACAAAGTACAGAATCGCCACAAGACAGGGGTAACTAATCGCCAACCACGGCGACGAGACGGCAATAACGACAGCCATACCCATAGCAGCAAACAGCAGCACGGAGAAGTTGATCAGTGCCATCGGCAGCTCGCTATCAATCAAAGCGAGATCCTGAGCAAACAAGTTCGTCACTGTCCCCGTGTCAGTCGTCGCAAAGAACCTCAATGGCGCGCCGACGAGCGTCCGCAGGGCTCGCTGGTGCAAACTCGATCCGGACTGTGAGATCATGGTCTGCGTATTGATGAAGACGACCACCATCAGGGAACCGAGACACATGATTTGTAAAAGAGCGTAGATGCCAATGTAGAACGCGCCTGAGCGCTTCGGGATCTCGGCGGTGATGTCCTCGGACCAGAACTTCAGCCAGACGGTGGGGAAGTTCATGCAAAAGGCGTAGGCACAGCACCAGAAGATAAAGACGACAATGACCCATGTGGCCATGCTTCCAAAGTAGTGTCTGTATACTGCAACATCGCCCAGCTGGCGTGCCTTATCCGGTTCGTCCGCCACGTCGGAGACTTCAGTGATTATTTGAGCTAAGGGGATTTTCTCAGGCTGGCTTGACACTTCATTCTTTCCCTGAGGAGAGGCCTCGGTCTCTTGGATCTTCAGACTTTGAACGTATTTCCCGTTGGTCTGCAAGTCTGCAAAGGATCCCTGCTCGACTACAGTACAGTCGGCACCGAGTGCGATGATATGGTCTGCAAGTGGTAAATGACGCACAGAGTGTGTGCATAATACGGCCGTGGTGCGCCTCTGGCGAACGATGCCTTGGTTGCCAAAGACCCGATTGAAGACGTGCTCTTCGGTGGTCGCGTCGAGGCCGCTCATGATGTCGTCCAGTATAAGTAGGTCACATTCGAGGTACAGGGCGCGAGCGAGAGCGACTCGTTGTCTCTGCCCACCACTCAAGGTGAGCCCGTTGCTGCCGATTTTAGTTCGATCGCCTTTGGGTAGTGTTGAAAAGTCGGCAGATAGCATCGTGGCATCGATTACTTGGCGGTATCGTTCAGGATCCAGTTCCGAGTGCCCAATGATATTGGCCTTGATTGTGGTATTGTAGAGGAACGGAGATTGATCGCAGTAGCCTACCCTGCGATAGTTGACACTGAAGATCGCTTCGCCAGAATAGTGTGGGATCTCGCCGAGAAGGCCTTTCAGAAGTGTCGACTTGCCGGAAGCCACAGGTCCTACGATGATGGTCAGGGAGTTGGCAGGGACGAATACGTCAACGTCGTCCAGAACGTACTTTCCCTCAGTCCATCCAAACGAAGCTTGCTTCACTGTGATTGAGGAAGAATGTAATTCAGTGGGTTTCGTATCACTTCCCAAACTTGACAAACGCGGGGCGTCGGGCGTTTTGCGATAATCTATACGGCTGTCTTTGTCTAGGTACGCCTGGATACGACCCAGGCAGGCGAACGCCGAAACCAGTTGCGGAATGGTCTGGAACAGGCTGCCTAACGGACCAGCCAAGAGCATGAGGTACGCCATGGAAGTGAAGATACGCGTGACGTTGAGGGTCTGAGAAGTCACGGCGAAAGCCATGACGGGGCCGAGCTGAGAGGGCGTGTATGCAATCGTCACGGCCGCGAGAAGCATCAGTCGCCATTTCCCACCCACGCTAAGTTCCTTGAGGCGTAAGCCGTGTATCAGGGTTTCAATCGGCCCCGACATGGCCGAGATCTTGAGTGCCTTCATGCTCGAGATAGCTTTGGCGGTTACACCGACTCGCTGCTGAATTGACTCCATCCACAACGTTTGACGTTTTCCTGTGAATTTGGCGGTCACCGTGGAGGCTGCCGTGCAGACGATGACTACAACGACAGGTGCAACAAAGGCGGCGCCAATTTGCCGTTGCAGCAACCAACACGCCAACGCAACCTCGATCGTGTTGGCCCAGTATTCGTGGATCGGCTGAAAGCCATTCTTGACGCGCTCCACGTCGGCGTTCATGAGAGTCAAAGCTGCGGAATCGTCTGCGGCGGACAAACTGATGACGGTTGTTTTGCGGTAGACGGCCGAGGCCAAGATGCCTCTTGCCATGTGGACGAAGCGCTCTTGGAAGTACCAGTAAACGGAACTGGACGTAGCCATGCCAATGTAGGTGAGAAAAGCAGCGCCGATATACCCGTACCCCTTGTTCGGTGACGAGGCACCCACAGGCTCCTGGAGATAGTTCAACAAGCTCTCAATCATGAGAGGTTGGCAGAATTTGAAGCCCATCTGACAAAGCCGTGGGATGATGGGCAGTATGAATGGTCCTACAAGCGTCTGTGCAATGCCCCTGAATAGAGCATGCTTGTGGCCCTGCGTTTGATTCTTCTCTAGAAGAGGCCCGAATTTGGCGTACAGGACCTCGGCTGACATTGCTTCATCGAGCGCATACAAGTCGTCGAGGACAAGGAGCTTGCGGAATCCCCTGAGAAAGAGGTCATTGACCCAAAAGTAGGTCGACAGACTAATGATACCGCTCGTCGCCTCTGGACTTTGCTGCTTTTCGGAGGCTATTGCTTGCCTTTTCGTCCAAGATTCGATGACGAGTACGACGACTTTCAGAATGACACTTGCGATCGACAACCGAGCTTGATGGAAATCGTTGGCAGAGTCTGCCGACAGCCATTCAGTTCTCGTGCGAGCAATATCAAACAAGGCAGTGATCAGGAGGTATCCACCGAGCAGCATCGACGGCCGCGGTGAGCGGACATGCTCCAAGAATGAGAGAAGGATCATGACTAAGGATGCAATGAAATTCATCGTATCGGATGCGAGCCCCAGCTGGGACGACCAGTACGTGCCACGACTTGTCAGAATGAGATGGCCAAGTTGCAGGCCACTGTAGGTCACAAGAGCAGACTGATAAAGTATTAGGTATAGTGTAGTTATAGGTAGTGTCTTCGCTTACGATCTTAAGGCATAGCAGAATAGTCTCGTCAATTATCTTTTGTTTTTGAAGCAATTGAAACAGTCGCGGCAAAGAACACAGGATCAACACGACTGCCGGAGTAATTGCCAAGGCGGCTTGCTCGAATCCGATAGTGAAGTCAAAATCATCACGGCATCCGTGGACGACTGGACCCAGTGACCCGTCGTTGACACATGAGGAACTCATCGAGAGGCTGAAAATGCTGGCGTTGGGTAGAGATCGCCGAAAGCGCAACGGCGCACAGTTGAGACGCGTCGCATAAATCGAAAGGATTCGACAGAATTTTGAAGAAATGTACCTTGGTATTAAGAATAGGTCCCTTTATCAACAAGTTGCCCCCTGTGCGGCGTATTATCACCCCGAGCAAGTAAGCATCATTTGCTTGGTTGAATTTCCGGCTCTATCGCTCGACATTTCGGTTCTCCACACGGAACTGTGCCCCTTGGGCCAAAATGAACAAAAAAAGTCCACCTTCTTAAAAAAACAAAACACACATAAGAACATTGCTTCACTCCTCGCCTTAGCAAGGGCAAGGGAAAATACAGAAATTGCAAGGAATAGGGCAGGGGATGATAAAGCAGAAGCGTCCAGGACAAGGTCCGCGACCATCATCACCGCCGCGAAGGCCCATCTCCATCTGCTCTGATTGGGGCTGTGGGCGCTGAGGATCTTTTGCGCGGCGAGGCTGATTAGTGAGAGGTTTCAAACGTTTATGGCTATTCGACGGAAGAGGACTCTGTGCTCACCCATGGGTTGGTAAGGGGCCGGCTGTTGGGCGTCGCTCAATGTGGAAGGAGAATCTGCACGCCCAGATGGGGCAACTTGGCTAGATTGGTCCATTGTGTTGTTGGAAGTGTTGTTGGAATTTGGTGGAGCTTTCGTTGACAATTGCGCAAGATGGGTATGCTTTTTTGGTTGCGAAAGAGAGAGAGATGTTAATGTCTTCCAAAGATGAGAAATTTGGTCTGGAGTCGAAGGTGTTGCTGGGATGAGAAAAGTAAATGGCCATGACGCAGCCGCCTCAGAAAGAGATGGGATGACAGCAATCCAATGGGTGGCTGTGCAGGCATCACGTGCAGAGCCGATCAGGTGATCTTTATCAAATTACGAACGCTGTCAAAAGCTCTAATCACGCGCCTGCCTTTTAGAATCCGATCAAAAGCGAGCTATATGGACTTGGAAATGCGAGGTGATAGACAATATCCATGATGGTCGAGTTCTCCTGCCGTTTGGTGGCTGCGCATTACTTCTGGAAAAAATTCAACATCGGACGAATGAGGCGGCAGACGCCTCGGAGATCCGACCCGCTGGTCGGATGCCAGTTCCGGATCCGAGCCCCACTCTCTTGCTCCGTGCCCGGTCCGGTTATCTGCTTGCCACCGCATTCTCTGCGCTCAATCAGTGCGTTGCTCCTCATCCTACCTTACCTTAACAGAGACGCTTTGGAGTAAACAAGACGCGATTTTGAGTTAATTTTTCTTGGTCACGGTCAAAAGATACAACTCGACGCGTTTGCTTCAACTCATTGCGAAGAATGTCGCCTGCCTTGTAGTATCCCCGGCACAGTAGGGTGATGAGTGAAGATAGGCCACCCCAACTCTATGGAGACATAGATCGCACATGTAAACGCCGGGTAAGAGATAATACACCAAGATGAAGTGGAGGCGGGATCGACATATATGCTGTACGTAGGTGCTCATTCGCGCATACAGTACTCAACCCCGGACCCGTTTCATTCCAATCCCGTCGGACAGTTTCAAAAATAAGCCTCTGGTTGCATTGGCTCTCGGGGCGATCGCTGACTCGCCATGCAACTGTACAGAAATACCTACAACTGCGGAGCGACCGACACAACAACCGGGCAAGGATACAACCCCCTTTTTTACTATTTTGACAACTCCCAAGAGTTGCTGAACCATACAATTCATTCGCATGTGGGGGCCACCCGCGCGAACAACTCACCATCGTCAAACCACTAGCCATCGTGGGGGGTTTGGCGACTTTATTTTAGTAGGGCGCCCTCGCCTTCTAAATAAAGGCAATGTATGAGACGCGGACAGCATCCCGCACCACGGTTGAGAGAGAGCCAAGAGAAGGACAAGAAATAATTGAAACGTTCATCGCCAAGACCAGCGCGAGACGGCAGCCACAAGCTTTTCTTGCCCTCCTACTCTTTTACCGCTTCATAGCAGATCCCAATCGGCTGCTAACTAAGCCAACCTCATTGTGATTGTCGCTGGCATCCTTTCTGCCTCCCTTGGAACCGATAATACTCCAAACCTGCCAAGGTGCAGCCAAGGTTTTCGGGCCACCAGCCGATTGCACCGCCAGACGTCTGTGGCCGAGCCTCAATTAGCAGACCTCCAAAATAGACATGATACTCCTGGCTATTGTCAAAACTGTAAAAAACAGGAAGTGAAAAGAGGAGACGAATGCAAAAGGGCTCCTTGTGAATGAAGTATATAATCGAGACGAATGAACGCACAGTCTCGGTCTCATCTCTCACTAGCTCATCATCATCACACAACAGTCTTCAGCTTCAACTTCATCCGATTCGAACGCTCCGAACTCATCTAATCTTCCCCGCAACTGCCAAACGCCAGACTACCAAACCCACATTCAAACTAGAAACTATGCGTGGCATCTTCTTCACCGTCTTCACCCTCGTGGCCGCCGTCGCCGCGCAGGCACCGTACACCGGACCTTGCTCTGATACCGCCTGTGGCGTGGAGAGCGAGAACTGCGATGTCCAAGGCCGCCAGTGCTTCCCATTTCCCAACATTGCTCCAGCGCTCCGTGAGGGCTGCGTCTGCGGCTCTGGTTAAACCGACATACACCAGACTTGGAATTTCATAGGCGTGAGAACGGACCACTTCCCCGTGATGTGTCAATCATCATCTCATACTCAATATAGGTTTTGGGATCAGACTCGGCGAAGATCAAAGCGGCAAGGCGCGCATAAAAGGGCCAACGGAGCCTCAATTGGAAAGGTTCCGTAGAACACGGCATAGGAACATGGCACATAAGCGACTACTTTGGCGCCAAGGACATCGAGGACACCAGCATTGTTACTTCCATAGCTAGATTTTGGCTCTTGATTACAGCGAATTCATTGCATTTGAAATTCCAAGTGTCCACTGAATACGAAGAAATATTGTTCTCCGCTTGGGTTCGTGACTTGGTCTGGCTCTACAGATAGTATCCTTGCAACTCCGGTCCTAAATCTTCCGAGAAAAGAGCTTGCACCCATCATCAACCTCATAACGTAGGACTTGCTCAGGTGATGGACTACTGCGAACAGCGTCGACAGACAAGATTTGCGCGATTCGTTCGCGGACTGATTCCGTTAGCTGTTTGAGTCAGTTTATGCCCGAGAGAAGAGCTTGGCGTTGCTTGACGGACATTGTACCGAGCGAAACCGCCCAGCCTGGGGCCGCGCGAAGCCATACTCTTAGGAAGCTTGTGTCGCGGGTTTCTCAGAAGGATAAACCTGGCTGCAATCTTGACTTCAAATGCGGAGAAGACCGTTGGAGAATTCAGGAGACGACGACACAGCCAAGTTAACTTTGCCATTTCCATGGCTCTCACTTTGGTGTTTAATTACGCCATCGTCCGAGGATAACTTATTCTTCACAGTCTTCATTGGAGATGCTGACTTACTCGGTCGTACTACATTATTCTTCGCATCCGACTGATAGCAGTACCCGTCATTTCCAAGCGTTTGGATACGGCTGGCTCCACCATCAAGATGTTTAGACTGAACGAAATGGACATATACGTTGGGAAGCCAAGGCCCTAAGATCTTGTTCGTCCTGTCCCTATCTCTTCAAAGACGGGACCTTTCAAGTCTCAACGTCTGGCCGAGATTCCGTGACCAAGCTCGAGTCTGCCTCAGCGGTATCCCACTCTTCGAACTACATCCTTCACACATGGTTCCCGAGGTTTAAAGCCGAACTTGAATTCAGAGAGTTCCGTCATGTAGCGGATTGCGTTCATGGCCACATTGTCGACCTTCTCCAACGGTACTCTCTTAAAGGCCCCTGACAGGCAATCGAATACCATAAAGGTGTTATCAAGAGACACTTACTTACCAGGTAGTTTCGTGTACCTTGGCTTAGCACAGGCAGGGGCAGGTCAGTACGTAAGCTACCATTCAAGTTCAGCCATCTTTCAGGGATGAAAGCCCCCAAGTTTCCAAATTCATCATAAAACACCTTCTTATCCCAATCAATAACCCAAGAATTCACGAACAATGTCACTCCCTTGACGATGCGCTTGCCACAGATCTTATCCATCATCTCGGTTCTCCGTGGGATACTTTCCGGCGAAACCGGTCTTCAGCGCATGATCTTTGATACCACGGCATCAATGTAAGCCAACTTCGTCCGGTCCGCAAAGCGCGACTGCCGCTTTCTGCCAACGAAGTTATCTGGGATGGCTTGCGATCGCACCGCGAAATCCACGTTCGTGTGCGTTGCGACGAGAAACTAGAGCATCTGCCGCAAGCTAGTCTCCATACCGCCTTAGACGCCCGTTGCGAGGGTGAAGGCCAGATCTATTTACGACAACGGGGCTTGTTTCGGTGTACTTGGCGGTAACTGCTCGGCTTGCACGCGCACACTTGATAAGAGAATTCTCATCTAGAAACAAGCACATACGATCACACCCATCGGAGAATTCGGGATCCCGTCCGCTCTCCCATAGACAAGCCGATGAGGGCCAGATTAGTAGTTGAGTCGGTGACGATCAGCGAATACCTGGTGTTGTATGTTTTTTGTCGTTTTATTTGTTGAGTGGTGGGTCACGATGTTGCTTCGATAGCAATAGTGCCTAGTAAAGCTGATCGATTGACTGGCCGAAACTTTGACGCAGCAATGGATCCGAGACTCGGGGTTAGCATTTGGTCATGGAGTCTCGGATAGGCATGATGCTCGCGCATCAGAGCGACTCGTGAGTTTCGCGGCTATGCTCCGGCGATCATGTCCATGCTCGCAGAGGTCGGCCTGTGGCTGTAGTACACGCTGCGTTTCTCAAAGAGCTCATTTTGTGCTTCGGCGGTTTTCATAACCACCGCGGGAAGGATCCCAAAGAGTCTCGTCGTCGAAACTGGTCTATTGCGCCAACCCATTCATCCCGCCTTCGTGGCAGTCTCTCTAAAGGTGAGCGATGGAGGTCGCTAATGATGGAGAGATTGAGGGGCTTTAGGGTCGTCTCGTCATTCTTGCCTCTTTTGGATAACAGAAAGAAGACTGTAACCAGTGCGACTGCTACCAGTTTGGCTGCGATCAATCGCTAGCCATATCGTCGTTCAGGCGAATTACGGTATAGGGTTGAAACTAGGCATGTAGAGATAGCAACAGGTCAAAACACGGATGGTGCAGGCAACTTATTACACGCACGGAGTAGTGATCGCACCATCCGCCCAAAGGACAAATGCACGTGAGTGGGGTCAACAACCAAATCGCATCCGGGCGTCTTCAACCTTCGGAACAACACGCAACGCTGGCCAAAGTCTCACCTGGTCCTTTTCTCATATCGCAAGGACAAACGCACGCATGGGATCTACTCCGCACGTCATGAGAAGAAGGCTAGCAACGTCTGCCCAGAAGGATTCACCCTAGCCGGGGGCGCTGCCTCACTGGCCGTATAAATGGTTGGTTGATTTGGACGAGTTGGCAGGATTTACTGTAAACTCCGCTCCGGAAGAAACACTGGACGGGGCCGATCCGTTTGGACTAGCGGCCTGTTTCGACCGGCAGATGGCGGGAGCGGGGCCTGTCCGGACGCTAGCGCACCGATAAGCTGGGGTGGCAACTTCGAGGCTCATTGATGGGTTCTCAGTCTTCCTCGTAACGAATGGCTATAACAAAGTTCAAAGACCGCGTACATTCTCACATACAAGAAAGAGATGGTAATCTGTATGTGAGCTAGTCTATAGACATAAGAAGGAAATGAAGCCTCAATACTTTTGTATTGCAAAGTCTGATGTACCTCATTCCTCTGCCCCTGGCTTCTGCGCGTATACCACGTGGCTGTAATGATGTACTGTTAAAGAAAGTCCATGATTCAGACCGTTAGGCAATGTTAGGGGACGCAAGACTCACAACTCGAAGTAGGCATGGAAAATCTTCGACTTCAGTTCGCGACGGACTTCGGCGAGGAGAACCACAACTTCCTCCTTTGTCCAACCGAGAACGCCAGTGAAGAGCCTAAAGGTAAAAGCATCAAGTCCATCAAGAACTTGCATCACGTTGATCATGCCGCATTCCTTGTAGTGGGGATCCTTAGGCCAGTCCCCGATTGGGATCTTGTACTTTTGGTGGACAACGTTCACGTAATCACCGGCCTCCCTGATCCAGCCCTCCAGCTGAGGCCCCGGGTTGGGATCGCGGCCTACAATTCTGCAGGCCTCGAAGAACTTATGCAGCCACTTGTAAGTCGAGTGCTGTGGAGTAAGTGAGCCATCGTCGCTTCTATACTCCAAGTCGTAGTCCTGGAACTCAACCCAGCCGCCCGGAGCCACATTTCTAATTTACTAATCAGCGTCTGAAACTTGAACTTATCAGTTTCTTCTGAAGTCTTACTCATAGACACTCCTCATCAGCTTGGGCCAGTCTGCAATAGAAGACGTCATGTATCTGCTGAAAATGAAGTCGAATTTGCGTGTGTGAATCCAAGGACTCTCAACATCATCAATCTCGAATTTGACATTAGGCAGGACCCTGAGCATCAGTTAGGACGAACAAATTTGTTGGCTTAGAGGACTGGTGTACTTACCAAGTGGGTTGAATGGCACTCAAATCATTTCCCAATATCTGCGGGGTTGTTTATTAGTTCAAAGACATCACGGGCTCTCTTTTCTTGTACGGGTTTCAAGAAGCTCACTTCAGCATGTGGAAGCTCTTCGGCTACCTGCAGAGCCCCTGGTTTATATTAGCTCGTGGTGTTGCTCCTGCATGGACTCTCTCAACTTACAGACTCCGGTACCAGTTCCTATGTCGAGGACTCTATTGATTTTCTCTTTCTCAAGAGGGGCTAGGTAAAGTTTGTCGCCGATGGTTTTCACCATGAGCATGTGGTTGAAGTCAAGACGGTCACTCTCAGTCTTTGAGTGAAAGAAAGTTAGCTCTTGCCTCGAGTTTGTAGATAGTCTTGGGGGCAAACCATGCCTCATCATTCGGACCCCAATACGCTGATCAAGATTAGCCGAGCGTCGCGCGTTGGGCAAGGGCTTCACCTACTGCCAGAGCGAAAAGCATGGTAGCGGCGGCCATGCTCCGTGGGGTAGTCAACAACGCTTGAAGATAGCGATGCCGTATACGAGGACCTGGATCGATATTCAGCTACAAAGTAAGGTTTTGCAAGTTCAAATTCTTACCAACGACTATCAATGGTCGATGCAGTGTCAGATCCCTGGTGACAGAGTTAGAGCAAGAAAGGAACCACGTTGACTTATAGATCACAGACCAAGCCCTCATCGTCGACCTCAATGTCACCTGTCTCAATCTCGTGATTGCTCTGAGGAGATCCAGGTCCGGCCGGAGAGGCAGTCTTGGATCTCACTGGTGATGCAGTCTTGGACCTGGCAGGGGAGGCAGCTTTCGTGCGCCCCGGGGAACCCGACGGGGGTGGGTCGATTGGTGATCCAACCATATCGAATGACAACCTGGGCAGCGTCCGGAACCCCGTTCTAGAAGGTATGCTTGGACGCAACGTCGTTTGAAAAAATTGCGAAGAGTGGGAAGTAAGAAAGAACGTGTTCGACAGCTGCAGTTATACTACGAAGAATTTGTACTCAGTTGGGTTCTCCTCTTTGCGCGGGCCCCTACAGCTTGGAAACCCATTGTTGGTGCATGCACAACCGTTCCGTTTCCTTGAACCAACATAGCAAACACGCATACGCCCGGGGTCAAAGACTAATCAGCAGTGCCTTAACGATCTCGTAGCGGGGGCTATCAGGCTGTCGCAGCCCATGCATGTTGGTTCGAGTCCAATGACAGACTCTGACCCAGCCTCCCCGGCCTTCATGTGGGTAATGTGATAGAAAGTGATCAAGCCACCTCATGCATGAATCAGCTTAGAGAACATTTCTGCTGCCCCCCCTGCTCCTTGGACAGAAAACCGAGGGCCGACCCCCCAAATGGAAGGTGAAGAGACAACAATCCTGAGCCTCCGGGCAGGAGCAGACATAATATGATGCTTCAAATTCTGGCGGATTGCTCAGATGATATCTAGAATGAGACCCTTCCCGATAACACAACCATGCTTTCTTCCTATTCACTGCGGCTAACCTAAGCTTCCTCTTCTGGTTTCTGAGCATAAACAACGTGACTGGGAGATACGACTGTTAGCTGAATTGAGGACGAGAAATGAGAGGAGAAAACTCACAACTCCATGCGGGCATGGAAGACGCCTGTCTTCAACTCATTTCGACAAGCTGCTAGCATCACCATGACCTCCTCCTTCGTCCAGCCAAGTACGCCAGTAAGTAGTCGCAAATTGAAGGCCTCCAAACCATCCAAAATCTGGATGAGGTTGCAGAGACCGAGATCCTTATAATGGGGATCCTTGGGCCAAGTACCAATTGGCAGTTTATACGTCTCATGGGTGATGTTGGTGAAGCCGGCCTCCGTGACCCAGTCCTTGAATAAGGGGCCCGGACAGGGCTCACGGCCAATCTGCCTGCAGGTGCTGATGAACGTCTTATTCATCTTCAGACTTTCGTGCTTATCGGTGATGGAGCCATCATCAGAGCGGTATAGGAGATCCCAGTCTTGGAATTCGACCCAGCCTCCGGCGTTGGTATTGCTAATAAGACTGGTTAGCAGTGTGATTTGATGACGCGATGTTTGAGCGCTAACTCGTAAACATTCTTGACCAACTTGTGCCAGTCAGCAATAGCACCGGCCATAGACCGGCAGAAAATGTAGTCAAATTTGGTTGTATGCAACCAAGGGCTTTCGACATCGTCGACCTCGAATTTAACGTTTGATGGTACCCTTCTTCCCGTTAGAAACCATCAGATGAGGGAGAATCGTTGTTTAGCTCGTACCAAGTTGGTTGGTTTGCGCTCAGGTCGTTCCCGATAATCTTTCCAACCACTCATTCAGCTCTTTTCCTGCAATTCAACTACAACTCATTTCGGGGGACACATGCGCACCTCAGCGTTGGGGAACAAGTCTCCCATCTCCATAGCCCCTGTGTACTTTGTCAGTTGATCGGAGCCGTAGGGATGGAAAGAACTTGATCTACTCACAGATTCCAGTCCCAGTGCCAATGTCCAAGATGCGATGAGTTTTCTTCTGCTCAATTGGAGCTAAGTACAACTTGCCAATGGCTTTGAAGATCAAGGTCGAGAGGAAGTCAAGACGGTCCATCTCATTCTATTCAAATGTGGTTGTCAATAGTTGTGTCGTTAGCCTGGGTGAATATGGCAGCACCTCATCGTTTGGAGCATAGTAAGCTGTTTCTTGTTAGCTCATGAGAGCGAGACACATCGGCGACAGTATACTGACCTCCTCCTCGGAAAGCGTGATAACGACGTCCATGCTCTACAGGATAGTCGATCACACTGGAGCCTAAGGAAGCTGTGTAGGATGATCTGGCTCGGGTTGTGAGTTTCATGCCTGGGAACATTGGGTAGGGTGGAATTCTACATCTGATCATCAATCGTTGAAGCTCCATCGCTGACCTGGGCCCTGTATTAGCAAGGATGGTATTCATTCAAGTCTGAGAAAATATACTACAAACACTGAATCCTTCGTCAACTTCAATATCATCTGTAACTTCGCCTGCAACTTGGCCCGCGGGTGAGTTCTGCGCTACTGGTGAAGCAGTTTTTGACCGCGATGGACTCCGATTTTTCGGTGACGCGGTCTTTGACTTGGCGGGAGATGTAGCCGTTGCCGCCGGGGGCGAGGCGGGCACCGGCGACTGAGCATATAGTGATCCAGTCATCATGGAATTTGGGGGGGGCCTTCGTTCCGAGAGTCCGGTTCAAGTAACGCAAATCTATCAAAATCTGAGCTAATCAAGAATAACTGAAACGGCGAACATTAGTTGAAAGACTTGGTGAAAGGTAGATCAAGCCAGACAATCAGCCAGCTTTGTACTCGCTGTTAGTTTCCCTGCATCCTGTAGGCTCTCGGCTATTTGGCACCTCGATGTTGGTGCGCCAAATGTGTTCAGCCATGCAGCATACGCAAACAAACGTGCCATTCATCAGCTTTGCCTGCATATCTCCGGGATGTATAGCAAATGAGAGCGTTGCCAACGGTTCCAGCAGCGGGGTGTTGGCCGTTGGTTGCAGTCAGGCTTTGTTCAGTCGAGGCCAATTAAGACGGTTGCTTCCGGTCTCCCCGGTCTTGCTGTGGATACTAAGTCCGTCTCATCCGAAGCGATACATAAAACAACAAGCGTACCCCTCTCTGGGAGTTATCGTTACTGGATTGAACCGGAAAGCTGACAGAGGGCTGCGCCAACCGAGGCAGGCCGAGCAAACCGGGGCCCTGCCTCACAATGATGTTTTCTGTCTGTGTGGCATCTCGAAGTTGATCTCATGAAGATAAGTCAGTAGCCTAAGCCTTGATTCAAAACTAAAATATAGTCAGACTTGACAACAGAGCTGTTGGATTCAATGCCATGCATCGCTATCATTGGCCAAGTTCCCTCCTCGGCCATACATAGTCGGAGCTTATTACTGGAGACAACATAATCATGTACCTCACATGAGCAGAAGTTTTCTACATACAGTATTTCTTACTCTGGCTTCTGTCCATAGACTACATGACTATTGGTCTTGTTAGCCACAGTTCGTCGTACCTTATTCCTCCTAGGGAAGTACTCACAATTCGCCAAAGGCGTGAAAAACTTGCGATCTCAGCTCTTGGCGAACTTCGGACAACAGTGTCGATACCTCTTCCTCTGTTTTGCCAAGAACTCCACAAAATAGCCTCAAGGTGAATGCCTCGAGCCCGTCTAGAAGCTGTATCAAGTTGCCCAGGCCGATTTCTTGGTGGTACTCGTCTTTAGCCCACGGCCCGAGAGGCACCGTGATTGTCTTATGCCCGATGTTGATGAAACCTGCATCCTGCACCCAGCCCTCCAGCCTAGATCCAGGACATGGCTCGATACCACATAGCCTGGCTGCTTTTAGGAAAGTTTGATCCCACTGGTGTGTCTTATGATGGGGCCGCAGACTTCCGTTAAGTGACGAGAATTCAAAATCATAGTCCTGAAACTCAACCCATCCCCCTGGCCGAAGATTTCTGTACGTAAAGAAGGTCACCAGACATCCAATATTGTGCCGCTTACATCCAGTGTCACATACTCATATGCTCTACTCACAAACGTTGGCCAGTCGGAGAGAGATCCAGCCATGTAGCGGCTGAAGATGAAGTCAAAATGTTCTTCGTGAACCCAATCGCTTTCAACATCATCAATCTCAAACCTGACATTGGATGGGACTCTTTCAATGATTAGCTACAATTCAGAGATTAGAGAGGCAGTGGAAAGTTGCATGTCCTACAGTCTTGGCTGGACGGGGCTCAAATCGTTACCGATGATCTGCTGACTCTCAGCTTCCGGCCGTATCATCAGATCCTAGTACATACCAGAGCGTTCGGGAAAGTGTCGCCCATCTCGATCGCCCCTGACAGTCATAAGCTCGAAACTCTGGCACTCGTCTAATGTAGACTCACAAATACCCGTACCAGTACCGATATCAAGTACTCGTTGCATCTTCCTCACGTCAATTGGGGCTAGAAAGAGGTTGTACTTGAGGAACTTCAGAACCAGCTCGTGATTGTAATCCAAACGACCTAGTTCATCCTTGCAGCAACATGACCGCCTCGTCAGAGAAAGTAGCTCTCTTGCCGTTACTTCTATTGCTTACCTCGTCATTGGGGGCAAAGTAGGCCGTGTCAAGGTCAGCATGGTCCCGCAGCAGAAAACTCGATACACTCACCTCCAGCTCTAAACGCGTGGTATCGTCGCCCATGTTCTGTAGGGTAATCTACGACACTAGAGGTTACCGACTTGGTGTACGAAGACCTGCATCATTAGCTCTAATCGCGTGTGGCAACTCAAGTTCTTCATACATTCGGTCGTCAAGGGTCGAATCATTGTCCTTGTATATATGACCTTAGTGTATTGCGTCTATACTAGGGCAGGCTATGGACAACTCACACTGTCACCAACTTCGAGTTCAACACCTTCGTCACTAGTATCTGAGGCAATGCTCATAGGCGAGGCAGCATCAGATCTATCCGAGGAACCTCCTCCGAGGGCGCTCATCTGGACTGCCGTCCCGATGTATTTAGCAGGTGTTCCGAGCGACTGAATCAAGGCCAAACAGATGAGTCTACACAGTAGCAAAACCTCCGAGATAGTGGAGAGAAACACTCGCGAAGTGGCCGCGACCCAGCTGCCATGGTTTTGTATCCGACGATAGAGTCTGTCTTCTACATATCGCAACCCAGGCAACCGCGACTGAGTCTGTTGGTGATGGAATCATACAGCATGCAGACGGCCCAAGCAAGAGTACCTAAAGTCCTACACCGGTCGTGATCCTGCAGACTCCCGAAGTCGCGAGCTAATCGGCGGCCTGCGATTTGACGCTTCGCTTCCAACGGCTGGGCGCTGTTGTCCTTGGCTGTGGTGAGACCAATCATGTCTCTGTGCGTTGATCGCCCCTGTCTCTGATCTGTACCGTGTTGGGCGCATGACATGGCCCAACTTGCTTCGTGGACTGTTGGAAGAGGAAAAAGAAACGACATGCATACTTCGGGCCCGACAGGAGGGGAAACGAGCAGGTAGGAAAGGTCTCGATATCTTCCATTCGTGCGGACCATAGAAGTCCGCAACAGTCATACCACTAGTAGGCATAAGCATTGCGATCAATTAAGGGGGAAACCGGTCACATACCTGTCTTTTTCCCTTACATCTCATAGTCGAGATGGCCAACATCTAGTGAATTTCCCAATAGCCAAGGTACCTTCGGCGTGAACCCCGTCTCCGAAAGCGTCGAGACAAGGAAGAGCCTCAATCCCCGCTCCTTCTCAGCCGACTCAAGAAATGATGGGACTGCAGCTCGAGCAAGTGTATGCCGAAAAGTGCTGCATATATCGGAGCGAGGTCGTGTGGTCCGCAAGGCCTAGCGTCTCCACTGGCCCTACGCTTATCCAAGAATCCATTCATTACTGTCTCAATAGCCTCTTCCACAGCCAGCCCGCTTATTCTTACCCTGGAATCACGTTCCTCATTTTTGTCGCCTTCATGGTTGTCTCGGGTGGCCGCGGATGTGCTGGTCTGAAGTTCCACGTCTACAGTAGCTTCCCTGACTCGTTTGGCTTGTTCTTGACCGAAGTAAGGGCCGCTGATGTAGTTGACCTCGGTCGTTGAGTCGATTCGTCGTTGCGCTTCGGGGTCTTTTGCTTCTCTGAGGAAATCATGAATGAGAACTCGAATCTTGTATCCGAGAATTGGGTCGGCACTGATAGATGAGGTCGTCAGCCTGGGAGACGTCGCGGATGGCGCTTGCGCCGTGACCGGCCTCTCTTTGTTTGTTCTAGGCATTTTTGCGTTCGATCTTGGTTACTGAACTACTGCGTTGAGTAGTGGAATGTGATTCATTTCTACAAGGTATAGGATCCACAAGTGGAAGGAGTGCGTTTTCAACAGGATGGGCGACAATAAATGATCTCTAAGGTGTCCAAGGATAGCATCGAAGGTGAAATGCTTTGGGTCTGAGAGTCTGGACTGCGTCATGAGCCAAGCACAGTGGTAGGATCTGCCATAAGTAGCAAAGACTAGCCAATGGGTTACAAATTAAGTCTACCTATCCGATGTGCCTCATTATGGCGTCCGAATCTGATCTTGACCAACCAAAAGACTACTTTTGATCAATCACGGGGGCTCTACTGATCACGGCTCTACACCGAGGGAGGTCTCATGTCGAAAGCCTGTGCAGCCCAAGCCCAAGCAACCTTACCCTCCTCATATCCGTACAAAGCATGCTCATAGACAGTAACCTTCCCATCCGGGCCATTCTTCTGCAGATTCTTATTCTGAGGCACGCCTGAGATGGACAGCCTGACGGCGATCTGCTGCTTCTTCTCATCAACCACAAACTCGTCAACCTCATACTTGAGTCCGGCGATGACAGGCAGCAGAATCTTGCCCAGGAACCCAACGGCCCCGACCGCCGGCACTTGATTCCCGTGCATCGAGATCGTCTCTGCCCACAGCGCCGGCAGCACGGTGGGCATGGTGCCGTCGTTGTAGCTGTAGATGTACTTGCGGTACAGCGCCTCGATCTCGGCGGCCGAGATTGGGTTCTGGGAGGCCTTGGCGGCGTACTCGGGCACGAACGGCGGGGCGGGCACGGGGCCTACTCCCCGGCTCTGTTGGTTTGCGACCTGGTAGAGACGGACAATCTTGCCGTTCTCGAAGAAGACGAGGATGAGGTCCCAGACCTTGGATGGGGTTCCCTCGGAGGCATCGCCTGTTGTTGTGACGAGGCGGGCGCCGAGGGATTGGGCGGCCTCGTTGACGGTTAACTGGTCTGCGCTGAAGAGACTGCCCTTCTCGGCCGTTGTGGTGAGGCGGTTGATGAACTGGTCTTTGCTTTCTGTGTTTTCGTTGTAGGTTGCTCTCACTACCGGCTGGAGGTGGTTGTGAACTTCATCCCACTTCTTGTTGTTGACTGCGTTCAGGAAGGCCTGGAAGATGGAAACAATGTCTTGAGTTGCCATTTTGTAGTCGATTGGAGGGTTGCCTGCCTTGAACCTTCGATTTTCTTCTTTCTCGAGAGATGAGTGAGAAGGTCTGGTATGATCTGGATATCCGATTCACAGTTGAGATAATGCTCGCCATTGTTATATATCCGTAGACGCATCAGCTTCTCATACCTCTAGCTCGTCATCGTCGCCAAGGGTAGCCAAGAGACTTCGGTCTCGCAAAGCTGACACTGAACGGGCGTTGTAGACGTGTAAGTCGGACCGTCAGCAAGGACCGACGGGCCGCTTTTGTTTGGCCGCCGTCTTAATTGGGCCAAAAGATTGCTCATACGCCGGGCACAGAGCCTCATCGTAGTGTTTCCGTATTAGGACAATAGGAGTAGTGTGTATCGGCGGGGATGGGGGCGGGTCTCGGTAGATGCCGTCCATTTCAGTAATTCTTTACCGAATTTACGGGGAGGTGTTCTTCTTAAAGGCAACCCGTTGCCAGTCGTTCACGATTCAAATCTATTATACTTTCCCGAGCTTCTAAAGTTCGCCTCAGCACGCTCACTGGTAATTTCCTTTGCGTAACGTAGTCTGACCTCTACACATAATGCAAGGCACTAGGTTTGCCTCTGCTTGTAGTGGACCTTAACTCGCATCCGAACTACAGCTTGACTTGAGCTAACCACGTCATTTAACAATCTTTGACACGCAACTCTTTCTCATACCACCAGTTCTGCCAAACAGCCCCTGAGAATTGTAAGTTGAAAGATGTTGGCCGACCGCCTCTATGATTTTGCCGGTGTGTGAGAGCTCGGCCCATCGCTGGTGGATACCGGCTTCGCGCTGGCCCCGTCTCCACGTCCGCCTCCGGTCGCACCCCCGACGTATTTGCGATTTCTCGGCCCTTGCCATTGCAAGTCTGTCAGTTGCTTTAAGTCCCTCTATCACCCTCGTCGAAATCAAAAACGAAGCTTGCTTGACTTCTGAGTTCTTGAGAGTTACTTCCGATGGCTGCCTGGATTGTGCATGATGAATCTCGAAGGATCACCCTACGATGATGCTCATCAATTCTCTACCTAGCCAGTTAGTAGAAATGCTGACTGGCAACACCAAATGAAGTCCTAGATCACATTTGATGAACCGTAGCAGGAAAAAGGAAAGCCATATTGTTCCATGAACAGCTACAAGGGTTGGTGCCTCATGGAACTCTCGCCATGCCCTCCGTAAGTGTCTGGTCAGGAACTTCGTGGTTGACGTTGCCCGGGTTACCAACAGTTTGGACCGACTTTGGAGAGAAGTTCGCTAAAGATTGGTTTTGAGGTTGTGATTAGTCTGTGAAACGGCCAATGAGAAACACAAACCCATTTCTCATTCTGGCACGTCTCTCTCGCCGTCGGCATTTCATTAATGCTGTTGCCTGATTTAGGCACTGCTTCCCTTGCTGCCATTGCTCAGCTTCATTTCCTTGCACAGTATGTTGTGTTCAGTGTTGGAAGCGAAGATCGAGGCTTCCTCGGTGCCTGTTCATGTTGTTGGTTGATACAAGATACGATCGCCTAGACAAACAACAGTGCATTCGCGTATCAGCATAAAACCCCACGTTGCCTCTGCGGTTAGGAAAACCAAACTTCGTCTGCATTCTCATCAGCAACCGACACATCTCCATCAACTGAACACAATTCGTCGAAAGTTAACATACATACCGATACTTGCACCACCAAACAATAACCATGGCCGCCGCCGCCGAATCTGCCCCCTATACGGGTCCCTCTCCTCGCGAGATGATCGAAAGCCACACTCTGGCACAGGAGATCATCAACCGCAACAATGACGCCTGCCCCATCCTCGACTCTGATGAGCTGTCTCTCCTCTCCGATTTTGTCAATGATCCATCGCGGGCACGCTTTCTTCTCGAGACTCGCGGACTGGCCGACGAACCCACCAAGTCTGGTAGTCTTGTGGCCTACGTCATCTCACTACATGGCACCGACAAGGCCGCTCTCACTGACGAGGAAATCAAGATCCTCAATAGATGGTTTGAGAATGACCAGAAGCTTTGATGCAATAAAGAAACATCCTGAGCGGGAATGGCGTGTTCGCATTCTCATGTAGCGAAAGGGCTTCATTGCGACATGGCAGCGATCGTTTGGTGGGCGAAAGAAGCTGGCTTGACTATACACTGATCGACCAAGCCTGTCATATAATCAACAAATACTCTCACAAATGGCGATAGCACCTGGTCTCAAGGTTTAAGCCTGCACGTATTTCTTAAACCAGTGACAGTGGCAGCCTTTCAAATGGGGTTATGGACTATGTGGTGCCAACCTGTAATCCTTTTCTCCATATCAAAACTCATGACTTATTCTTCAGCGTAGACAATATGTCGTACAAGTGGCACCTAGAATTAGCGATGGAATTTGGTTCGATTTGAATAGTTTGCGACCCTCTAACTAGGTTTACCCACGGATGAGAACTTGTTCCTACGTTCTTGCTCCTTCCAACTAGTTCTGGCAAGATGGTAACGCAGCAAGAGCTGCTGTTTCCACTTTCACCAACACACATGATGTAGCACCGCAGTGCGGAAGAGCTTTCCATGATGAAAGTAGTTCTTTCTTGCCTTGCCATGGGCGCATCTCCTCCTTCCCTCTCTCCTTCATCGCTGAAAGCAAAAAGTACCAAGTACCTAGGTATGAAAAGAGGGGAGAAAATCGAGGAAGAGACATTCCAATAGAGCAAGTACGGACACTCCATGGCTGTTATAACCTACCGATGCTTTCGAGATTTTCCTCTCCAACACCCGACTTCCATCTACATGACCAACACCCGTGTCGATGGTCAAACTATCAAGCCGACGTGGTCAATTTGCGACGTACGTATTCTTTGACCTCTGATGGTACATTATCTGGTTTATGTTCCCTCTTACCGCCAGTATCTAACATCGGCCCTTAGGTGCCAAGCTAGTCAGAGGTTGGCGAGGCGTTTGGAAGAAAACTGAAGCAAAGGTAGAATGTAATGCCTACTCGATCAAAGCCGGGCGTTGATCATTATTTCAAGGAACTCATCGAATTATTCAATCGTGGCCATCCCCGCCATCTCGTCGCAGCCCTTCCGCGCATCGACAATAGTCAATTGATATAGTTAGCTTGGTGTTGCTGTCGGATCGTTGATCACTTAGCAGCAGTGCCCGGCTTGGGAATCTGCAGCTTGACGAAGACGCTGCTGAAACCCACTCAGCGTCGATGATCATGGCGAACAGAGATCTCAGTGCCGGATACGCTCACGTCTTTGACAAGCGCCGAAGACGCCTCGATCCTACATGTGGGCGAACCCAGGATGGTCCTAGACCTGTCGATCCTCGCAAAGGAACGACGTCCGATTTGTTGGAATGCGACATAGGATTCATCTAGACCCCATAAGCATAATCGAATCGATGTCAAGCGGCTTGCCTCGAATAGCAGCCGCGCGAGCGCACTCGGCCGCCCCTGAGTGGTGTTCAACGTCTGACTGTACCAGGCTCGAGCTTCAGAGTTCGCAGAGGCCTTTACGCTCTTCCCATCGCGCGTAGGCTACAAGATCATCTTCGCCTACGATGTAGATGCTACGAGCAGCTCCCGAGACGAATCTCTCGACACAAATTTCGCCATGCAGAACGGCTGGTCCAAGTACCCTTCAAACCGCCATTCCGCTCCAGGGCATGGCTGCCAAAGCGACATATCTCAGATGGACCCCAAACTCGGCATCGCGGATCCCCTCCAACGGTATCCAATGCCTTTCCCCACACTCGTCTTTGACCAAACCACGCCAGATCGTGTCTCGTTGCCGCGACCCAATAAGACGTCGCAAGGCATC